CAGAATACATCTACCTACTAACTGTTACATTGGAAATTTCGTATGGACATTTTCAAACTCACTATCGCAGCTGCGCTCTTTTTTTTTTTTTTTTTTTTTCATTAAACCATTTCAGCATACATATTAATAAATACATCTAGCATTTTGTTCCTAATCAGCAACATGTTGGTGACGGAACATTATAATTGACATATGATTCAATAACAATTTCTGTAGTTACCATAATATACATTAGTATACATTAATATACTTATTCACAATAAACAACAACAATTACAATCTTAAGTATATCATAGTACAGTAGTTTGTTGATTTATGTGCTGAATCAAGTTTATTTTAAATGAAGAATAACTATCTATATTTTTCACAGGATTTGGCAAAGAGTTGAAAGTTTCTTTCGATGCTTTCGATAGTTTATTGCGATAATTGCAACCAAACTTTCAAGAATCAAAATGTCAACTAATTTCATGTCAAATAGCTCTCAGCCGATATTTCGCTGCTATGGTAATCATCATCTGCATTTATCAGAACCATATCTACCAAGATTTTCATAGTTACAGTGACAACAACGATGTGATACTTCCCGGCCTAGTCCGGGAAGTACGTACTTCCCGGACTAGGTCGGAAAAATGTTAATTCTTCGAAGAAAAAGCGTCCGGGTGTGAGCACTTCCCGGACGGTTGCCGAAAAAATATATTCCATTTCTAAGGAAATAAAAAGTGATCATTTTCGAATTCTGCACATTCGTAGTCAGTACAAGTCAGAAATAGTTATGTCCATTGGTGCCAATACAGGGGATAACATATCGTTCTCTAGAAATAAGTAGGACACCACTGATGGATATATTTGATGAAATCACTAACCTGCTAAATTGCTTATTAAAATCTTGAGGAAAGTTTTTGTGAAATTTTGGCACCGTTTTCGATTTATTGGCAGGTATATTATTTTGTGCACGTGCATACGTAAAAATAAAAATATAGGTATCTATGTTCAGATAACAGAGGGTTTAGTTTTGTAGAGTTGGTTAGTGTATTTTCATAATACTGATAATGATTTAATGCATCTCATCTGGAATTGACAAAATAACAAAACAATTAGGCTCAACAAATAATGAAGGATTAAAATAGTTGAAAAGTTAATATTGTTGATATATACGTAATATAGTTTATCTAGTGGTAATGATGCGATTGTATAATATTCAAATGAAATGATACTGTTACGTTATTCGGGTGCAGGAGCGAACACGACACTATTTATTTTCGAACTGATTTATTTGACCTAAAGAAACACTAATTTATATCGAACTTATAACTACTATTTATGTAAAACGATTTATAACACGCGGTATATAACTGTCTCTCTGACACTCGCTGTTTGACTGACTGACCGCAGTTATTCGGCTGTTTATATATGAGATCACTTGGCAGGCTTGGTTCGAGAACCTTCTCGAATGATCTTCCGTCTCCTTCTTTTTGTTCTAGAAGCTTCTTAGAACAAACCTCTCTCTCTAATTGTTCCATCGATTGTTTCCAGAACATTCCAGAATATTCTGTGACGTTATCTGTCACCGCGGCATATATTGAGTGTTCGGAAATATGCTAGTGCATGCATATACGTATTAATAAACCATACGGATCATAACGGGTGCCAGGATGAAGCCAAAAATATGAAACAAATGAATATCCATAAGGATTTGGTGGCATGATACGCATGCGCCATGCGCTATTATAGTAGTCATCAAAGACATGCGTTTCGGTGAACAATGACGTTTACTAGCCTTTCAATCAAAGCAGTATGTGTCTGATCGTTTCAAAACTTTTCCTTATGGATAGTCATTTGTCTTCAAAAATCGGCTTCATGTTTCGCTATGGAAACAGATAGAGATTATCCGTATTGATTATTAATACGTATATGAGTGCATGTAGGAATCATTGGGAGGTAGGAGAGCAATCTGGGATGCGTGATACAGGATGATCGTTGTACTCCTGCCTTCCTGCTGATGTTTCTAAAGCCCCTCCAAGGGGAATATCATTACAATACAGTAGATGAATGAACACTGCCAACCCCAAGGAACGTAATTCGCGCGGGGTTCGCAAAAATAAAAAAGACTAATTCATAAAATCGAATCATTTTTGTTCAATTGAATGCGTTTATAGACTACGCATACTTTACGCCCTTGATACATAGATAACTATTATGCAACGATCATTATGATTATATACTCGAGTTATTTTTTTTATTTCGTTGCAATCACCGATACTGTTTGTTTTATCAGAAATTTCTGGTGGTGTACACGAATTCTCCACTATATACTCACACGAAATTATATATGTTTATTTTGATAGGTAGGAAGGTAGGTATACCTACTTTTGACGCTTTGTGTTTGAATATCGATTGAAATCAACAATTATGTAGAAACGTAGACCACTGATTATCCCCAAGTACAAAATTGCAGAATTCTCAGTTATTGGGAACAGTACCCCACGGCCTCTTCATCGGAACGCCAATGGATTTTATATATCGAGTGATTCAACTACTATTAATGTTATAATCAAGATAATTATGAATACTTTGGATAAATTATCATGTTTAAATAAGTCAATATCAGTTTATATATGATTCTCATGAACTTCAAGTACAATTTATCACGACATGTGACGTGAATACCCATCTACCGTACCTACATTACTTTTAGTTCTCAATATTACAATTTGATTGTTTTATTTCCATGAACATTCTGACAGGAACTTATGAGAAATATATATTCTTCACAACTTCCGTCAATGATACCTATATGAAGTGCAGTGTCGAATTCAAATAATTATGTCAAGGTGAAAACTCGCGTAGAGAGAATGGAAGAATTTCTGAAATTTGAACCTGTGTATTCAGATGATCAAGTGACCTCGATTGAAGATGAATTCCGGAGATTGAACGGTTAGTGAATCTTCATTGTTAAATATCTATTATGTATACAGGGTGGCACATATTATAAGTGTCCGAAACATGTACCCTTTAATATGACTTTCCACAGAAAATTTTCGTGGAGATGACTTCGAGTATTATTCAGTATTTATCTATACTTCACTCCACTTTGAGAAACCATATGGACTCCCATCTAAAATCACTTCCATATTAGAAATAAGTATGACATTGAAAGCATTGATTCACAACTTCAAAAAGAGGTGATAATGAAATTATTACAAATTCAACAATTCAAAATAAAAATTAAAAATTCATGGGACATCCATATCAGTTTATTACTGGAAAAACTAATAGAATAAAATCAGTCTTACAAGGAAATATGAGTTCTATAGTATTTGCGGTTATGAATTGAAGTTTTTGTTTATTATGTTATGATTGATTGATATGAATTATATTATTATTTCGAATCTTGAACTCAATGCGATTCATAATGATCGTTTAATTGTAGAATATCCTGTTATTTGGTTGTGAAGTGGATGTGTTTTTTCATTCTTCAGTAATATATTTTCATTTTGAAAAATTTCTTCAATTTGCATGTTAGTTTTTTTATTACGTTATTTTTTTCCTTGGTGGGCATAAATTATTATAGTGGGGGGGGGGGGGGCAGATATGAAGTTGCGACACCGCTTATATATGCTCACCATATTGGAATCTTGATAATCTGTGAGAGGGAAACAAAACATCAATGGTTTGAGAAAATTTTGAAAAACTTATTATTTGACAAAATAATCCAAATAACTTTTTTTCCTTCACAAGAATGGTGCTACGTTTTGTCTTTGGGTCGACATAAGCAGTTATTCCATTTTATATAGGCCAAGATTTTATGATTTTATTTTTCAATCACCATTGGAATCTGTGCGTGATAATTTGTTCGAGGGAAACGAAGTTTGTTGAATAGAGACATATTTGGGGACCTTTGAGCGCCTATATTTATATAGGCCGTTAAGAAATGTCAACAATTATTAGCAGCAATATGGATTGAGAAAATTTCGAAAAACACATTTTTTGACAAAATAATCCAAATGAATTTGTTTCCTTCACAAGAATAGTGCTATGTGAAAACGATACGTTGTGTCTTTGGGTCTACATAAAGTTAGTTCATTTTATATGCGCTAAGATTTTTTTATTGAATTTTTCAAGAGCTTTCAGCATCCTGTGAATGCAATATGTCGTGTCAGATTTTTTTCAAAGAAGGTCCAGCTATATATTCGTGAGTATATATATACTGAAATGTATAGGTAGGTACCCAACACATATACCGCGTGTCCCAATAAGGTCGTCCAGCTGCGGCATATCTAAAAAGGAGGAGGAAAAATCATCACAGTAATTACCCTGAGAAATCAATTCCCATAGATTCCTGAGTTTTTTATATACTGCTCTGCGGATGACCTTAGTGGACCACCTAGTATTTCAAGTAAATCTAATAGACATAGAACTGCCTGCATAAAAAAGTTTGTCATCGATACAAGAATGATTCTTTTACTTCAAAAAGATCCACTCGTCCTGACGGACTATTGGTGTTGCTAGCCATCACAATTCGTGAACAATGAAGCAACAGAATTATCTAGAATATTCAGAACATCGTGATATCACTTATGAGAATAATGAAAAATTCTCAAATGAATAAATCTAATGTTCAACCCATCTGGATTGATGTATGTGCTGATTTTTTTATTTCAAAATCTTCGCACACTCTTTCGCGAAAGGTGTCATGGTAACGTAGAGGAAACTGAAGAAAAGTGACTCCGCATATTGTTATCAATGCGCGAACCTGCTCCCAATTTTTTGACGTTAGTAAAAAAATCACTATCGAAATTGTCCTATTTGACCGTTTACCCCCGGTTTAAGCCACGGGGCTGCGATGGTATAGACAACCCGATTTGACTTCAATACACAAAGAGATATTTTTAAAGTAGGAACAATAGCCCGTGTATCGATGAACAACTTTTTTATGTGGCCAGCTCTTATACTATAAGAGAGATAATCGAAAGAATGCTGAAATGAAATAATTGTTACAGACACTTGCTACTTAGATCATGCAGGCGCAACTCTGTATTCCGAAAAACAGATCCAAAATGTTATGGCCGATCTATCAGCTAATGTATATGGCAATCCACATTCCTTACACATTTCCAGTAAATCAACAGAAGAAGCCATAGATATAATCAGATACGAGTAAGTGTTTATACATTTTACAGGGTATAAAAGATCACGTCGAACTGATGGAGGATGTAAATCAAAGCTAGGGGGATACCTACCTGATATGAAAATTCCCCATTATAGAAGTTTCAGCTTCATTTCTAATGTGGCCCCTCGAAAATATGAGAATGTAGAATTCAGAATAATCAGCCAATAATGTTCTCCTGTACCAGCAGCACGAAAAATTCAATGTTTCTTTGAAAAAATATCCCTGAAACGGTAATAATGGAAATTCTTTCATGGCACTCTGATCTACATTCTCCTTCAGATTGACATGTTCTTCATGAGACACCCTATATATCTTTCAATATTGTAAGCTGTGGAAACCTATGATGGAATAAAATCCGTATCTCCATAACAAAAACATGTTTCAAAAAGATTTCGGGCAGGTCGATTTTCAATTTTGACAATCTATTTTTATATTAAAACTGTCAATCACCTGTCAACCTTTCAAGCTACAGATCAACCCCTTCAAAATTTTTGAATTATAAAAGGGGTCGAGTTACACCTTGTTAGAGAGGTATTTCAAATATCTACAACGGTCATTTTTTTTTAAATTCGGTTGAGCCATATCCGCAAGAGCAGCCGAAAGATTGTATTGGAATTTTTGTCTAAATTATTGGAAATGTTGAGTACTGTTTCATTGTATTACTACTACAGTTAATTTAGCTACTCTCTGGTAGAAGTCCATATTTTCTCAAAGTGGAGTGAAATGTCTCAAAGGGAAGAAGGCGATAGTCATCTCCACACTTTTAATGATGTAACAATTATTCAAGGGGACATGTTTCGGACTTAGAAAAGTTCATCGTCAGCCAAGTGCCAAGTTATAAATTTATGGTGGTGATACTAATTTGAATTGTGGTGCCAATGCCCATCGTCATATATCATGTTGAAATTTATGAGGAAAAAACGGGTTTTCATAAAAATGAAAATGCGCTCTCAGGGCACCCGGACCCTTTTATTTTTATGGAAACCCGTTTTTTTTCTGATAAATTTTTACTTGAGATTATGACGATAGGCATTGGCACCACAATTTAAATTATTATCACCTTCATAATCTTCTACTTTGGCTTAAGATGGACTTTTCATGTCCCCTTAATTGTTATACATCATTTAAAGTGTAGAGATTACGTTGGGCTATCCTTCTTTCTTTTGTGGTTCGGCTACATTTAAAATGAGTTTTTCATACTGAATGTCCGTCTACGCCTATGTACAATAATGAAACAGTACCTACCATTAGATTGTGATTCTTTATTTACACTGCAAACACTGAAGTATTAGCATATTCTATTATTTCGTATTTCCACTTCCACTGGAGGAAGTGCAACGCTATTCACTATTTCAAATATTTTGATATATCATGATATATCAAGTAGCCAGGTGATGTCTCAGTACAGAGACTCTATGAAAGATCGTAGCATTGGAGTGGCCGTTGACATATTTTTTCAGCCTCTTACTTTTGCAGATCTAAGTTTGTCCCTAGATCTCGAAATAAATGGGGTAAACGTGTGTATAAGTAATATCGTGAAAATTCGTCATTTTATGTATTTTGTACTTAGTTGAAAAGTAGTTGATTCATCACATGCAATGATATAAATAAAAATGTCTTGATTGCGCAAAAAGACAATATCCTTGAATTCTTTCGATCAGTTTATGACGATATTGACAATTTCAATATGAGATAATGACATACCGGGTGTCAACGAATCTATTAGATAAGTCATAACTTCTAGACTATTAGGTGTATCAAAATGAGATTTGGTATAGGTAAATGGTGTGTGAAGAGGAGAGTTTTCACATATTTTTCACTTTCCGTCCACTTCCGGTTTCACCGGAAATGGCTCCGGTTCTAAATTTTTGAATGGAACACCCTGTATATTTTGGATTTCTGAAACAATTCTAGATCAGAATGTGACAGTTTCGAAAGTTTTCATGCCTACTTAAATTTTTCGGAGTCACTTTTGAAATAACACCTAACCTGACCATGATCGGAAGTTAACTAATCTAAGGACCTCAGGTGATATCAGAAAGTTACAATTGCGAAGTTTTAGTGACAAGTATGTTAGATATGAATGAGACAAGTTGGCAAAATTACATTTTCGTGTCTATTATTTTTCAAATGGCGACCATTTTTTGACAAGCACTTTCCGAAAAAAGGATATTTTGACGAATCTAACGATACTAATTTATTTACGATTGGATCAACATATTTAACAAAATTAACAATAACTTCAGCGATGTAAGTACATTTCTTTCAATTTCCTAATTTCTTAAAATTTTCACTACAGTAAATTTTCAAAGTGCATTCCTCCTTGTTCGAGACACATTTCAGCTCGTTCGATTGTTTCTCTCAACACGCTTCGTAACATTTGTGGCGTTATACTTCTAAATGCCTGTAGAATCCTTTCTTCTAAGATTTCGAGAATGGCTGGGGCTGTTGCATAGTAGACCCTTTCTTTGACTAGCAAACTGTGATGATCCCCATATATAGTTTACTTCCGATCATGGCCACCTAGATGTAATTTCAAAAGTGATTCCCAAAAAATTAAGTTGGCATAAAAACTTTCGAAAATGTCATATTCTGATCTAGAATTGTCTCAGAAATCCAAAAATGTTACAATATATAGGGTGTTCCATTTGAAAATTTAGAACCGGAGCCATTTCCGGTGAAACCGGAAGTGACCAGAAAGTGAAAAATATGCGAAAACTTTCCTCTTCACATACATTTATCTACCAAATCTCATTTTGATACACCTAATGGTCTAAAAGTTATGACTTGTCTAATAGATTCATTGACACCCGGTATACATACTTATAAGAACATACGTCGATTACATTGTTCAATAGAATTTTACAGCATTTCAATACAAACAATGAGGAATACTCAATAGTATTTACTTCTGGAGCTACAGCTGCTTTGAAGATCATAGCAGAATGTTTCAATTATGGAAGCAAGTCGAAGGGAACTCTCGTATATTTAGAAAACAATCACACTTCTGCACTCGGTGAGTAAGATTAATATAAACCCAGAATATTTCGAAAACTCCCAAAAGGGACCCTCTGTCTTTCATTCCATTATTTCGAATCATTACGAAGATATTCGCGTTCGATATCTCCATATACTCAATGAGTGTAACAGAAGAAGAAGTTTCGATATTTTGCCGATATTTTGACGGTTGACATTGAGCATATAGAAACTTTGAACGCAAATATCTTCATGATCGTTTCAAATAACCTTATCGTGCCCGGTATCGTTGAATTCACTATGATAATCCCTAACTGATTACAGGGTGTTTCATTTGAAAATCAAAAGTTTGGATCATTTCCGGTGGAACCGGGCGAGAATGAAATATCGAAAAATTGTTCAACTCTTGAATCAAAGTTTCCTTGCAAAGTTTCAATATTATACAGTGTGACCCACATCTAATGGAACCACCCCTGTATCTTACGTAATCGTTGGGTAAGGATCCTGAAATTTGCTGGAGGGAGAGATATACCAAAAATGCACTCTATGACCAAGTGGAGTCATCTTCAGTGATATACACTGCTCGCCAACAGCCATGAAACCACCCCAATTTCCGGAAAATGATATTAGGAGTCAAAATAGGTTGAAAATCACGTCGGATTCGGAATCAGGACGCCCAAGTTACTAACTATTCAAAGTTTTCCTAAAAGATTTTCAGTTCAGTAAAATTAAAATTTGTCTCACTTCTCATGGAAGCACCCCCGTATCTCACGTAATTATTGAGGTAGGGTTCTGAAATTTGCCGGAGGAAGAGAAAGTCCAAAGATAAAGTCAATTTACGTGAGATACGGGGGTGCTTCCATAAAAAATGCGACAAAATTTCATTTTTCCGAACTGAAAATTTTCCAGGAAAAATTTGAATAGTTAGTAAATTGGGCGTCCTGATTCCAAAGTGATTTTCGACCTATTTTGACTCCTAATATCATTTTCCGGAAATTGGGGTAGTTTCATGGCTGTTGGCGAGCAGTGTATATCACTGAAGATGACCCCACTTGGTCATAGAGTGCATTTTTGGTATATCTCTCGCTCCAGCAAATTTCAGGATCCTTACCCAACGATTACGTAAGATACAGGGGTGGTTCCATTAGAAGTGGGTCACACTGTATCTTCGGAAATCTGGAAACTATGGCTTGTCTAATGACTATGATTTTGATATTATTCCACTCTGCCATATGAAAGGAAGATAACAACCAAAAAAGAAAAATCAAGGAACCCGCTTGTATTCTTCTAAACGGAGACAATAGCATTGCTTCCTGTTTAGTTAATATAGATAGAACATGGTATTCACTACTGAAAACTGAACATGAAAATGGTAGATTCAAGATCAATTAATGAAAACATTCTCTAAGTCATTTGTAGACTAAAATCACTCATTCATATGCCAACATCAGTATGACACTGAAAAGTGTCAAACTATAAGCAGCAAAACTTTGGCATTTATATGTTGAGAACGGGAGCAGATTCGGTCCCGAAACGTCCAAAGATAAGTAAAAATTCGATATTTTTTCAATATATCTATATTTGTTTCCTTCAAACATCTTTTCAAACAAATTGTCACTGACAAGCTACTGGATTTTTCTTTTAGACTCCCTAATAGAAAAATTTGTTAAACGCAGTGACATTTTGGGGCAAATCATCTGATTGTTCCCACTACAAATATATTGAAATAATACGAATATTTTTATTTTATCGAAATAACGAGGAGAGAAAATTCCAAAGAATCAAGTAAAATGAATATTCAGTATTGGTATTTATCAATTTCGATGAATATTATCTTGGTATAATGGAATGCGATACCCTCTGTGTGTGATATTATTCTTCATTCAAATATTCATGGATTCATGATGACGAATATAGATGTGAAGAGTATATTTCTGAGACAGATTATCACGACTTGAGCATAAACATCGAATAGATGCAAAATATTCCAAACTGCCAAATTCAATTGTTTGACGCCCTGTACTTCAAAAACGCCATTTATTCTGAACAATAACGGGCCCTTTTTGTGCAACAATGCAACAACAATAGAGGACTACTGAACTCGTTTCAAAACAATCTCATATTTGATATAGATACTAATGGGGAAGACCACTGGGGGATTAAATCCGTCTAAACCTCTTTTAATCAATGAATCATGATTTACATTAAATGTATAGTTAGTTGAAGGGAATCGAATCTGTAGCATTTTGAAATCAGTATATTCCATTCGATATTTCTAAATACCATATATGAAGGCGGAAACGTGACGTATTAGTCCCGAACTGTCGCTATATCTCTCTCTAATGCCTTGCTATTCTGCAGTATTGCAGTGTGATTGGTCAGCTCAAGGACAATAGGCGTGTTGAGAATAATACGTCACACTAATGAATTGACACTATTTCAAATGGCACAGGAAATGTGTGTTTTGAATATGACATATTTTACTTTATTTTTTATCGTCCTAGTATGAATAAAGAATTCAAAATTACATTCAGTGGTAGTTTTTTGGTATAGAGCTCACGATGATAACGTTTTAAATATCACTGGTTTCCCCCATTGATCATCACAGTTTGCTAGAAATAAATGCAGGCAATTTTACCCAATTTTATTGAACTCAAAACATAACAAATTATATCTAAAGAATATATAGGTAATGAAAAAAAATGAACCACATACTATGTGCCGTATAGATCAATTCTGATGGCTGATATAGCATTGTTTTCGTAAAAACTATAACAAAAAAAAAACTAACTATTAAAATGCATAACTGTTGTGAACCCTGTATGATAAATTAAGTAATTATCTTATTATTTTTTTACAGGGATGAGAAGTTATGCTGAAAATGCTAAAGAAATTAGCACCGAAAGAGCTTATGAACTCATGATCAACGAACCCAAAAAATATCCTGACAAAAATGATTTGAACAACATTTTTGTTTATCCAGCAGAGAGCAACTTTTGTGGAACGAAGTTTCCTCTGGAATGGATCAAATGTATCAAAGAAGGAGCATTAAATGAATTTGTTCAAACGAAGAGTCAGAACTGGTACAGTTTCCTAATTTTTTTGAGAATGAATAATCGAAAATTGTCAGATTTAAACGTTTTCACATAAATGTTCACAGCAGAGCTCAGAACTATCAATGAGCATATTGTGAAATAGTAAATGGAATTGAAATATTCCTACGTCTTCATCAGAACGCGAGGATATATTCACGTTACCTATTCTTGTGATCATTGAAGAGAAATGAAGAATTGAGAGTTCATATAATACGTCATATTTTTCATTCATTGATACCAATTTGTTCATTGAACAGTTCTTCTTCCAGCAAAAACGGTATCACATCACATTGGTGACAATGTTTTCCAGATTTTTATTCCGACGAAATATTCCATATTCATTTATCGACTATGGTATGAATCACCACTATATCAACCAGCGTCTGGTAGAAATAGCACCGGTCAGAACTGCGTGGTAACAGCGCTTGGTCATAACAGCGTTCGATCAGAACAGCACCAAAGAAAATTGGCGCCTGCCTCACCTGCGATAATATGGCACCTCTTCAAGGTTAGATTATATGTTTCGTGAGGATAGTGATGATAGTGATGAAACGCCAATTTACCCAAGCGCTATATACTGACCAAACGCTGTTAGGGGACTGAGCCGTTACACTGAGCGCTGTTTCGTCCAGCTCTGTAATGATCACTCTATGATGAACAGTGCTATTTTGTCCTCATTTATTGCGCTTTCCTGGTCAACTTTCCGAAAGTGTCAAATTATGATTAAATTTTAGAAATTGTTTATAGATAACTTATTGTCACCATATATTGACATGTTCTTTTAGTTAATTTTCGATTGAAGGAATCAAACTATACCATTTTACAACTACCTTGCTTGTTAATCTACTCTTCAATTCCCGATTAATTAATTTTAGACTAATTCACTCATCACATAATCTGACCAATCACAAGCCAGAGACAACTTATCTTGTCTTTCAATTATGATTGGTCTATCAACGTTGGTGTTTTCAACGTAGTAACCATGGATAGCGCAGCAAAGTCTGTCTGTTTTGCATTAAATGATTATAGCTGTACAGTTGGCGGAATGAAAGCTCATTTATAATAAATGCTTTTTATGCTTCGTGAAGGTGAAATAGTCTAGCAAAATACCACTCTGTTCTGAATATCTTCTCATAATTCTGTATTTCATTGTTAACTCAATTGTTTTGCCGTACAGCAATACCACTCGCCCTGAGTGAATAATGAAGCGACATAATTATCTTGAATATTCAGAACATCGTGATACTTATGATAATTCGAATATATCACATGAGTCCTCTCCTGGGTGGTGAAAATTTTGGCTCGCACCGAATTGCATCGCGAAATAAGGAAGTCTTGAACAAAATTGGCCTTAAACTGGTTAATGAAACTTGTGACGATTAATTTCCAAGCAATATTTGCTTACCATTCTGCTCCAGTTAGCCAAAAAAATAGGAATCAAAACAGACCAGTTTCGGCCTGGTACATATCCTTGATCATCCTTTATTTTGAAAATTATTTCAATTGAAAAACACCTTGTGGATAGGTTCTTGTTATTCAATATTCTACTTCCAGAAATATAACTGTTTTGGTGTAATGTTGGTAGGGGCCTTTTGAAATTACAACTTTTGTACGGTCAGCTCAGTTCGTTAGCTTGTGTTTTTCCAACGGCCAACAAAATTCTCCTTCCTATATGGATCAGCAGTGACGAGGCAGGGTCGGCCGGGCCGTACCAGAAAATTTGATTGAAAAAGCTGAACTATTTGATGAAAAAAATCATGTTTCGAAACTGTTTTAAACATTCATCGTTTATTTTGCTACTGTTATGCCACTAATTCAGTCGGCTGGCCGATCGGTGACTTCTTTTCTCTAGACGTATCGCCCGGATCAAGTTGAAATGCTCGCTTATTATACACGTTATACACAGGTACGGCTGAGCTTGGCTAACCGTACGTACCTACCAGCCATATATTGTGCTGTGCCCCGACCTAATTAATGCACGGATTGTCATTCTATTTTCGTTTCACTATTAACTATTAACTGTTGAAGTCCATGTTGTCTCAAAGTTGAGTGAAGTAGTTCATATAGTAATAATACCCCAAGTCGTCCAAACGTTGTGGAGACGACTTGGGGTATCATTATTACTATATGTATTTCATTTGTAATTATCATTTCCATGCTTATTTGTATGTTGATGTTGAAATGAACCAACTAAAAGAAATGAAATTTCGAATAGTTATACGAAAATGAAATGAATCTTTGATGTTCTTGTTCATGATTGCGGAAGAAATGACTGCTAATTCTTGAATTTGCTATTTCTCAGTAATTCCAAATTCAACATTCATCAAATACCTGTTAAAATGCAGATCTTCTTCGGCTACCTATGACAAAGTTCATGTTCTCAATGAGGGATTGGCTTTTTGCCTCCCTTTCAAAATTACCCAATTCAAATATCACTTTTCAATTTCAAATTAATTAATTAGGTATCTATTAAGATAAAGTTTCTCTTTTCGCCTTCACGATGTTTTGAAAATTTTCCACATACACTTTGATGCACCAATTTGACTGAAGATGGCCATTTGAATGGCCGAAACATGTCTTAAACCTTATTGAAGCAGGATTGACTGCATCTTTTTCAACATTGAACTTGTGGAGACGACTTCAAGTTGTCTTACTTGAATTAAGTTCAACTAGTTACTAGAGCAACATCTACCCCGGCCGACCCAGGTTCATAGGGCACGAGCCGTCACTGTGGATCAGTGTCTGAAATGTATTCCTTGAAGATCATTGGGTGCAATGAATAATTTGTAATGATCATATTTTATTACCTTGTTAGTACGAGTACATGAATTGTATTCTAATCAAATAAACTACTCAACACTAATTTCGTCGCACACCAAAATGTCGCCCCTGTTATAATGTGAATAACTTTTTTCAGTTCAGAACAATTTGAATTTGGTTCACACTGTTCGATAGCCCAGTCCTTCAGCTATATTCTGGTACTTCATTGAAACATGAGGGTATCCACATAAAACGTCTACATGGTGTTTTCCGACACTGTGCGAAATTTCGGAATATTCAAAAGGCTCTCAAATGTTGAAAAAAGTGTTTTTCTCAACTTCAACAACAGAGGCATGAAGATGATCTCATTACCTCGAGATATTTCGCGAATCAACTTCCTATCTCTCTTATTTACAGAGTGATCTCAAAAAATCAACTTTTTGGTTTCGCAGCCATAACTTTTTTCCACGTCAACCGATTTTGAAAACCTTAGGCTCATTTTGAAGATTAAACTTCAGATGAAGAGATGTGAATATCAGAATTGACTCAAGATGGCTATCAAAGATCTAGAGTTTTCTTGAAAGTGACCCAAATCTGGAACGCCCTTCGAATCTTGGTTGGAAGGAGAATTGAATGAAAATCAACTTGTTCTCGGTAAAACAATTCATTCTGGATGCGTCCATATTTTCCTCGCTCTTAGTAGTCAAGAATTGTGCGTGAGAAAACACAATTGAAACATGTTCTTGCAAAAAAACATTAGATCATTTCTCCTCTGTAATGCATGGCCCGCCTTAACCAACGTTACAAGAATCACAATGAGTGACTGACAAACCCGACCAGCTGAGGCTCATATGAATGGTGACCCAACAAGAACAACGGATTTTGATTTTTTCAATAAAGTAATTTTTTTAACAGTTGTCTCGTACATAACATGCGATTTAAGAATATGGAGAAGTATTCAAGCAAACAACGTTTATTTATTGTAAAAACGCATTTCAAAAATGGTGAAAGTTTCACGAAAACAGTTTGCCAATTACGTAAAGTTTTCAATCGCAATAATGCGCCGAACGAATCGACAGTAATAACCAAACAAGTCGTGTCGGAGATAAGCCCTTTGAATGGATCGGACTGTCGTGTTTAGCAGATCCGCGATTTGAAGGAAAGATAACCCTTGTTCCCTCATTTGTGGAATCAGTTCCAACTGGTCGGGCTTTAAATGCGGCATCGAAACTATCAAAATCTGTTTATGATTCGAAAACGACGTCTAACCTGACTTGTCAGTCACTTACTATGATTCTTGTAACGTTGGTTACGGGCCATGCATTACAGAGGAGAAATGGTCTGATGTTTTTGCAAGAACATGTTTCAATTGTGTTTTCTCACGCACATTCTTGAGTACTGAGAGCGAGGAAAATATGGACGCATCCAGAATGAATTGTTTTTCCGAGAACAAGTTGATTTTCATTCAATTCTCCTCTCAACCGAGATTCGGAGGGCGTTCCAGATTTGGGTCACTTTCAAGGAAACTCTAGATCTTTGATAGCCATCTTGAGTCAATTCTGATATCCAGATCTCTTCATCTGAAGTTTTATCTTCAAAATGAGCCTAAGATTTTCAAAATCGGTTGACGTGGAAAAAAGTTATGGCTGCAAAACCAAAAAGTTGATTTTTTGAGATCACTCTGTAAATGAGAGAGATAGGAAGTTGATTCGCGAAATATCTCGAGGTAATGAGATCATCTTCATGCCTCTGTTGTTGAAGTTGAGGAAAACACTTTTTTCAACATTTGAGAGCCTTTTGAATATTCCGAAATTTTGCACAGTGTCGGAAAACACCATGTAGAGATTTTATGTGAATACCCTTATGTTTCAATGAAGTACCAGATTATAGCTGAAGGACTAGGCTATCGAACAGTGTGAACCAAATTCAAATTGTTCTAAACTGAAAAAAGTTATTCACATTATAACAGGGGCGACATTTTAGTGTGCGACGAAATTAGTGTTGAGTAGTTTATATCCCATAGGTATGTTGTCCTCGATGCTCCCTGTTACGTTGCCTCAAATGTATTGGATCTATCGCGATATAAGCCCGACTTTGTGACCATATCCTTCTACAAAATGTTTGGTTATCCCACTGGACTAGGGGCCTTGCTCGTGAAGAAGACTAGCGAAGAATTACTAACGAAGAAATATTTTGGGGGCGGCACTTTACAGATGGTGCTGAGTTCACAGAATGTGATTGTTCCTCGCAAGGTTCTACATGAGAGGTGGATAATTTTTAAAAAAGTTTGCTTGCCGTGCCTCTATACTCTATAGGCAGATTTTTTTTCTTAGTTGCTTCATAGATATATGCAATGTATCTATGTTGATGCTGTGAAAATGATTAGAAAAACATGTCAAATATAGCGAATGAAATTTGGTACAATTAAGACATGAGAGAAGTCAGTTTTTCTCATTACAAAAATACCTGTTAGATTTTAGCATCAATATAGCAGTCATATAGTTTCATTATTAATTCATTTCAGGAACATATACAACAGTGGCCCATTTGAAAGCGTGTCACCTTCATAAATTTTTTATTTATGGAGCGATTTTCACGATTTTTTTTTTCAATGTAGAGGGAGAAAAGGCATTCTAGAGCTGAGCGGTATCCACTTCTATGAAAAAGCAAGGCCTACTAGATCACATTCAGAAGCTGAATAATCCTGAATCCAAATTAGTGATTTTAAAAAAAAATATCCGCGTACACCACTGAAATCGGCGTCCTCTGATATAGATATGTACCAAGTTTGATGAAAAAATATTCAACATTAACGAATCTACAGCGCGTCACATTTCAAACGGGCCCCCTCTAAATCTCAGCTATCAGTCGTGCGATTCGTACCAAATTTGGACTCGTATTAATAACCATCATTATGATTAGTTTTTCAGAAACGACTGTCCTGTTGGACAGTGCCGTGCTGTTTAATTGAAATAAAATAGGGTTGATTTTTATGAAATCATATCAGGAATTTATTCGCATAAAACTAACTTCATATTATTTTATCCTTATGAGTTCGAGCCTCCATATGGAAAAAATCATCTCATTCCGAATTAACAACATTGGTTTCATTTTTTTATTTTCAGCCTCGAAAAAATTGTGAATTCAAATTAACTATAACTTTTGGAATATCGTTCAAGCTCCGAAACCTAACACTTCATAGGAATCATATAAAAATGTACATATAGGGGATTGAAAGCATGAAGAAAAATATCATGAGGTCAATTTCCCTGTAAAAAAATCCTAATATGATTTCATGATCTAGTAGGCTTTGGTTTTTTTAATATAATTCATGCTGGATCACATATGACTCTTTCCTAAAGTAGCATAATAGGCTTGTAGTCTATGCACAATTTTGCACATGTCCTCCCTCTACATAAAAAAAATCGCTTCATAAATAAAATATTTATGAGGGTGGCCCGCCTTCGAATGGGTCACTCTGTACATAAGGATTTTTTTCAGATTTGAAGATGGTACACTCCCCTTTTTATCAGTCCTGGCAGTCAAGCAGGGATTTGAAACATTGAAGAGACTGAATCTCAACTTTGACAGTATTTCTCAACATACATTTTCACTTGCACGATATGTATATAGAAAATTATGTACTCTACATCATGGTAACGAGAAACCAGCAGTAATTTTATATCATGAAACAAAATTCGAGAATAGAGACATTCAAGGTGGTATAGTAAATTTTAATTTGATCAGATCCAATGGCAGTTATATTGGATTCACAGAGGTATGTCCCTTTCTTGTTAATTATCAAATATATTTGATATTTGTGTCCCAAAAATTTAACTGTTTCTTGCCCTGTTTTATGTGCTGAACTCCAAATATTTTTTTTACTTTCGCGTAAAGTGGAAATTTGCTGTTCAGTGGAATATAAGTATATTACACACCGTGGTAGGAAGAGACTCATTCCTGTTGTGAGATTAGTTAGTTAACCGGGACGCAAAGCGTCGAGGTTAGCTATGATCTCGAGACAGGAATGAAACTTCCTACCGAGGTTTGTATACTATTTTATTTACAACCATCATATTCCGATCAAAATTAATAAATCGCTGTTTCTTTCTGAACATACCTAAAATATTACATTAGTGAGGGCGGGAAGGTGAGGTGCATTTAGGAAAATATTAATTGAAATTCAATTGACACTTTCTGAAATTCAATTGATTATTCTGAAATACAATTAACGCTTTCCGAAATACAAGTGCCTATTCTGAAATTCAATTGACTATTCTAAAATACAATTGATGCATTCTGAAATACAAGTGACTATTCTGAAATACAATTAACGCTTTCTGAAATTGAATTAACGCTTTCTGAAATACAACTGGAAAAGGTGTAATATTTACGAGTTTTAATTTACTAGAACTATATATTATAGTATATATACCAGTGTTTGTCTTCTAGGTTTTACACATGGCAAATTTATATGGAATACACTTGAGGAATGGGTGTCATTGCAACCCTGGTGCTTGTCAGCGATTTTTAAAACTGAAACCTAGTGATATTGTGAAAAATTTTGAGGTAAATGTTCAACTACTGCTGTTGAATTCTCAGCTTTGGTTTGGAATGGTCCACAAAATGAAAAATGATTCAACACCTAATCGATAATGTCGTTCAACTATACAATTTTTTTATTGAGAAATAAGAAAATCACGTATGGAAGTTATGAGTTACCAAATCGATAATAGCGTGCCTTCTCAACCTTACAAAATTGAAACTCTTTGTTCCATTGGAAGTGACCCAAAATTTCTTATCTTCAATGTAACTATTTATTTATGTAGCTGAGATTATGTAGTCATCTCAAATACAGGGTGATTCAAAAGTAAGCGGCATCCTTTCAGAGGCGTATTCCTTGCATGAAAATAAGGCAAAAAGTTCCTATTGATAAGGATCCGAAAATGCTTCCTAAGGGAGCTACGGCCCTTTGAATAGGACACCTCAAAGACGGTTTTTTCTCTATAACTTTAAAATCCTTCACAACAAATTTTTAAAAATTGGTGTACGGCATAAACATTCGATGGTAAATAGGACTCCGTATTCGAAATAATTTCCAAACGAAATCACAGTAACCTGAATATCCGGAGAAGAAGGGATATTTTTACACTTACCCTCTCCCGCATGTGACGCCCCTGAATGAAATTCTGAAATTTCGAATACGGAGTCCTATTTACCATCGAATGTTTATGCCGTACACCAATTTTTAAAAATTTGTTGTGAAGGATTTTAAAGTTATAGCCCTTTCACTCCCGAGATATTTTTTTCTGTTTTGAAGTGCCTCTACTGTTTTATTCGATCGATTCTGAAGTAAGATTGGATAATAGTAAGGTAGTTTTATTTTTCAGGACTTTTTACAGGATTTACAGGACGTTCACAATTGTGTGATTTGGGCGTGAACAGAGTAAACTCACAATTGTGAAAATAAAAATTTATTTTCAAATACTTGTCAAGAAATCGTAGGTAAACTCAATTATTTTTTATGGAATAACAAAAAACAATTTATCGATTTATTCATGCATAAATAAACATTGCATTTGGTGCATCTTACTCTAGAACGGCTATTGCAGCCACGATTCCTACAAGTAAGGGGGTCCTTCAACTCATCATTCGTAGGCCAATGTTCGAAACCGTCATACCTCTTGTCATCACATGGTAAAATTGCTGCTGGTCTCTTCTTGGCATCTGGTTCTCGATTATCCTCCAAATTTGTTTCTCCTAGAGTGCGTTTTTTCGCTCCAGTTATTAAATATTCTCCAAGTTTTAGCCTGAACTCAAGTAGTTCCATTCTCTTCGATTTTCTCCCACTCTTCGCATGATCTTGCCTGTATTCTTGCCAGCTGTTGACAATGGCAAGGTCAAAAAGATGCAAAATTACTTTTAGAGGCCATTTCTTGGTTTTATAAAATGATCTATAATATTCTAACATTTGATCACAAATATCGACGCCTCCCATTTGACTACGAGAATACACAATTGTGAAATCAAAAGTAAAACGGCCCTAAAAAATATAAATCTTTAAATTTCCAATCCAAAATTGCACGTATCCCTCCTATAACACTTTATCTTACGTGTTCAATCAATGATACCTGCATACATCGATGAAAAATAAAAAAATACGTTTACTTACTTTTAGTCGACATGACTAGATGAAACAGTGCCCACAGTTCAGTAGTCTAAACTTGACTGAACAGCAAAATTGCCACAATATTGCTAGATATGTGTTCCTAATAGACCTCACAATCAAGTGGAATCGGCGCAAACACATTCACAGTAAATTTTGACCCTTAAATAAATAAATAGGTGGGAAGTCATAATTGTGTGCTCCCGGAGCGAAAGGGATAGAGAAAAAACCGTCTTTGAGGTGTCCTATTCAAAGGGCCGTAGCTCCCTTAGGAAGCATTTTCGGATCCTTATCAATAGGAACTTTTTGCCTTATTTTCAAGCAAGGAATACGCCTCTGAAAGGATGCCGCTTACTTTTGAATCACCCTGTATATCACAATATTATGGCATTCCTTTTCAAATTGACAGTTTAATTGTATTATATTGCAACTCTAATCCGATCTTTTGATGATAAATAGTAGGTTATAAAAACCAATGAGTTTCAGACCTGATCAATACCTGTTGGTACCTAGTCAATAATTTTTTTGAACTTGAAATAACAACGTTATTGTGAAAACTGAAAAATGAATAAGAAACTTTCACATATTATTATCTCATGTGTCTCACTTCAAAATATACATGTATGTATTGTTATTTCGTTCGAGGATTCGTTCGATGGTTCAATATAGTCGAAGGACCACCCCATGCGGGGAAAACACAAGTACTCACGATATTATTCAAACTATTTTTATTTTTTGAAATTCAATATGTCATATCAGATTCGATTTTTTATTACAATCTTGTTGTGCCGTTGCTCTGACAATTTCTTCAGCTTTTTTCATCGCCTTCCAGTCAGGTTCAGCTCATACCAAAAATGTGATAACATTCGAAGTCTAAACATGTATAATGTTTTAATGTTTTTATTAATTTCTCGATTGTAGCTCGGTCACGTATGTGGAGATACAAATGATTTGATTGACGGCATTCCTACAGGAACTATAAGAGTATCATTCGGGTACATGTCCAGCAAAAAAGATGCTGATAGATTGTTGGCTATGATAGAGTCGTGCTTTGTCTCAAGACCCATCAGAAAAATGCCTTCCAACTCATATGACCAGCGAAATTATTTGGAGCACCAAATCCAAAAATCAGCCGATACCGAAAATATTACAGAATACTTTGAAACAAACAGCACACTACAAAATGAAGAACAAGACGAGAAAGGCCGGCTGACAAACATTTTTGTGTATCCCATTAAATCATGTGGTTCGTACGAAGTTTCTGAACAGTGGCTAATTGGTCCAGATGGATTGAAATATGATAGAGAATGGGTAATAATAAACTCTTCAGGCGTGTGCCTTACACAAAAACAAAACAGAAACATGTGTCTCATTAAACCAGTAATTGACCTGAAAAACGACAGGTTGCAACTAAGTTTTAAAGGTAACATACGTAACTGTTACCTAATTAATTGTCGAAATTACCATTAGTATGCTCCCGGCTGCGCATATGAATAATTTTCAAAACATGTTGCATAATTGGTTAATTTTGGTTATTTTGAAATATCTCTCCCCTAAACAACATTATGAAAACCCACAAAATGATAGTTTTGCAGGTTATCATGATATCGATATAAACCTTAGCAATAACATGGAACGTTTGAAAGAAGTATGTCTTTCCCAAACAAAAATTTGTAGCAAGCGAGTTATTGGTTGGGATTGTGGAGACGAAGTATCTGATTGGTTATCAGAGGCTCTGAACATGTCTGGATTGAGACTTTTACGAAAGTACAAAGAAGATGGAGGACTAAATGGTGAGAAAGAGCAAATACTCGCTCAAAAACTAGAACGTGAGACATGAGCGAAGAATGGCTCACTAAGCATTCAAGTTCAAGCATTCCTTTCACTCTGATGCGTTCATGTATAGTACCTACCTCATTTAACTCAAAAACTTAATTTACTTCTTTACCGCTATCTACTTTTGTTTACCTAATGTGTGAAATTCTTGAATCTCAAAATATATGAGTTTACAATTGATTATTTTTTCACGTTGAACATGATATGAAATCCTTAGCAAATTTCAAAATATCGCGTTTCTCTGTATTTGGAGTATAGGTTGATCATGAAATAAGTTTTCATAGAGCACCACCTATATACAGATTGTTATCGAATCGTTACATATTATTGCGTTGTTATGCTAAATCTACCATTTTTTAGTGTGTGAACTACTGCTCTACTGCAGAGCCTCCTCAAACCGCTCCTACCGCTGAAATGTTCATCCATCCACACTTGAATACATTTATGTCCTATTAAAAACTTCATTTGATTTAATTTCAAATGTAATGATATAATATTTAAGGGAATATTACAGTTTATTGATTTGCGTGTGTGCTGCAACATCTCTATTGCAGTAACCACACTATGAGATCCATCGCCGACTGCCGATTACGTATATTAATATCAAGTTTTGAATGTTTGGCTTCGGTCAGTGAATCCCCTAGTATACGTCGGTAATCGTCGGTGAATACCCAAGATTCGTGGATTCAAAAATAAGAGCCTGATCAGACCATTGATGGACAAATGTTATTGAAAAAATTATCAACTTATGGATTCCACTGGCTAAATAATTATCTCAGTAAATTACTGAGTAATTAAAGTCAAAGAATACGTTTCAATGGGTATGTATCAATATTTTATTACTTTATTTAAATGATATTGATATAATCATTCAATGTGAATTCCTCAACCTATTTGCCATGATATAAGATTCTTGGAATCCAAATTCCCGACATCACAAGCACTTGATTCGACTGACACACGCATTCGCTAGTCTCCGCCTCCGTTTGCGCATCCTACACTTCCTACAGTGATAAAAACGCTTTACTGCGTATCTGGCGATGTTGCCGAATGGCATCCTTTCTCAATACTCCTATATGTAACGATTCGATAAAAATCTGTATATGCCAAGTAGTTTATTTTGAGAAAATGTCAATCAAATTATTTTCCTGAAATGAGAAAGCAAACGTTTACTTCCGGGCGTAAAGTGACACCTTATCTCCTGGTTCAGTTGGCTTGACGTAGAATTATAGCTCCCTAGAGCGATAGAGAGGTGAAGCGGGCGTTTGCTATCTCATTTAAGGAAACAAAGCTGTCAGTTATCAATTATACCATATCTAAGTTCATTTACATTTTTACATATTACTATTACTGTATTTGGAAAAGAACTAAATTTGAAATTGATCAACAAAGGTGCTGCCCAAAGGACTAGTTTGAATACTTAAAGGTATATCCCTATTGCAAGCATTTCTGCCTAAAACAATTCTCATTTTTCGTTCATTTCATTTTTATATAGGTGCGTACTCTAATGTTGATAAATTATACTATATGATTCTCCTATTTTAGTTTCGATAGTGAAACAATCATTTGCCAACAACGGAATGTTTTTATTGGTGAATTCAAAAAGTGTCGAATGGTTGACAAACAAAATAGAAAATAATGAACTAAATGAGGATTTGAATACTACAATCCAAAGATTTAGACCCAATTTTGTCGTAGACTTTTCAAAACCATTCCAAGAAAATGAACTCTCGGATTTATGGATCGGAAATAATTTTTTCAAGGTATTCCAACCATAAAAAACAGTTCTTATTATAATTTAATACATTCTCCTGTTTTCTGTGATTTATTTATAATTTGTTGATTTCAGTCGAAGGGTACGTGCACCAGATGTCACATGATATGCATTGATCAAGAAACAGGCAATACGTCAAAGGAACCATTGTTGACCTTATCGAAGGAGTTGAAAGGAAAAATTCGTTTCGGAGTTTATTTGTCACTGGTAGATGATGTCCAAACTGTTTTGAAATTGAATAGCTCCGTTTTGTAAAATATGCAGTTGATATCACTATCTAGTACATATATACCGTATTATAAAAATGTATTGGCCTATCCGTCTGGAATCCCGCTTACTTCCTGTTCAGTAAGTCCATATACAAGGTTTTATTATATTTCTTAAAAATAAAAATATTTTTTCAAGATATTGATTTTTTTCTCCTGAAATTTTCACGATTATTGATCAAAAGTTAACAGCACTGGAAACGAGATCAGAAGTCCCGGCAGTATCAAAGACTTTCGCAATGTTGGAATTAACAATAGGTAAATGATGGGCATGCATTATTGAAAAAAAAAATGAAAATTCAATATGAGACGAAACAACTTCAAAGTGGGAAACTAGAAATTGGGATTGTCGACACAAGCTCAGTCAGCACATACCTTTGTCGTCAACCTCGAGATATGTCGATAAGGACTCTAAACCAATACTCGTTTGACTATAGATTAGCAAAGTTTTGGATGCTTTGCCTAGGAAATTATTATTCTCATAAACTTATGACCTCCAAAATTCAACAAAAATCGAATTCCAACATTTTCTCATTTTTCGTATTTCCTTAGGTAAGCACTAAAAAAAAATTATATTATGACAAAGCTAATCACCGAACATTCGTATGCCTTGCATCAAGAAAACAAAATGCACACATTAAAAAGCAAATTAATGGTTTTTAAAAATAATGATGACAGAACGGGATTGTCGGATACGTTTTTGCGTAAAAAAATTAACATCCTCTATCGATAACTACTGATGAAGCGTAATGACTGGACACGGAGAAAAACAACAGAAATGATAAAAGTGGAAATACTTGAGCGCATCCGATATTAATAGTGTATGTGCCCCACGTGTTTCAGATAACCGAAAATTATTAATCTGCCGGTTTGCATGGTGGGAATGGCGGTACGAAGGGATATAGACTAGGTATAAAATGTATTCGTTATATTGAGAAGGGACGTTAAGTGAACCCTCAAGTAGCCCCTATTCAGAAGACTGACGTGACCTTGAAATACTCGAGCGCGTCAGATTATTATACAGACGTTTCATTTTGATGTCCTTGTCGTATTGACCCATAATCTGACAATTATGTAGAGGAATTACCTTAACCCTTTCATTGCGGGTAAAATTTTGATAGTCGTGCTCTCAAAACGGGGAAAATTTAGCGTTGCGGGAACGCCCGTCTCCCGGTATACGCAAGTCAGGTACGGACGTGTACACCTGTCTCCCGCAACCACAGGATAACTTGTGAATGCGATTTTTTTACATATTTCAACCCAAAATAACTTCTATTTCAATAGACTTTTTTAAAATGAAATGTTATAATGCGATACCTAGCTTATATTTATAATGAATTGAAAATATTTCCATATATGAAATGGAATTTAATGATTTTTGACAGTGTGATACCTTTCAAAACATTTTATGATACACAGCGGAACATCACAAGGCGCAAAGCAGAATTTAGTTCCTTTCAGCATACAACAACTCTTCAATTTGATCGTCATTGAGGTATTTTCGAACCATCGTGGTTTAAATTCACTTGAAACAAATAAAAACCAACCAACTGATGCAGCTACTACTTGGATATTGAAATATTGAATAAAATGAAAACCGCACCCACAATCGTTAAATCCTGTTGAGACATGTTTATACGATACGTACCAATATACGTAGACGGGAACGCCGGGCACCCGCAATGAATGCGTTAAAAACACGTGCGTGAAAAGCCGTCTCCCGCGTATTTAATAACTAAAATATAAACTATACAGGGTGGGTCAGTTTTTTGTAGCAGGACTTCAACAGCTCGAAGAATTCACAATTTTGAGATGGAATAAGGCTCATCTAGACATACAGGGTGGACCACTAGTGTGCCAAAGTGAGATAACGGCTTTGCTGTTTGAGATAGATGAACAAAAATTCTTGAGATGGTCTAGTCTCATGAGCAGTGCATTTCTGAAATATTTTGCGTTATACAGGGTAACTAAAAATGCGTGGCGTATCAAACTTATTATTTTTCTTATAGCACACCTTGTATTTTATTGCATTTTCAGATTCCTTCCTATGAGCTGACAATGTACAGCATTGATAACAATATTCGAAGTGATACATTTTTTCAGTTTCCTACGTTACCACAATTACATACATAGTTCCCAGTGGCTGCAAGCACCACACTTAATTGATGATTTTCGCTACTTGGGCTTGTGCAAATTGGCAGGTTATGATATTTCCGTGATCCGTGACTGATTGCCTTCAAAATAAGAAAAAAATTAACCGCGCTCGAGAATGTACAAGTGACGATTTTTTTCTGCAACTTTGTGGCTCTCCCATTTCCTTATGTCACGCTAAAATCGTCAGATTATTGAAAGGTACACATTTCTGCATGTAATTAACGTACCATGTCTTGATGTGACGCGCTCGAGTAAATCCCTAAATCCCCGCTTGGGCTCCGGCTGTGTTAATTCTGCATAAGGAAGAAGACTACTTTTTATAAACAAACTAACCTCTCGCTAGTCCTTAACAAACCGTCTTTCTAAAAAGAAAATTTTTCGGAAAACCACTCGAGAAAACAGAATGAAAAAAGTCGAAGGCATTGAGCCCGGGTCGCTAGGTCTGGAGCTAGCTCTGAAGCTCAAGCAACTACGCCACGCACGTACGTCTGAAGATTGGTGTATGATAATGTAGTTGCTCTCCCCTATTATATAATATAGAAGCTTTTATATTGACAGCAAATTTTCACATATCAGTTACATCATAGTTACATTAAATTCTTATATAAAAATGGGGTTCACATATTTTAGAATTGTTATGGAATATTTACGTAAATATTTTATATAAATACGAGGTTTACATATTTCAGAATTATTATGGAATAATCACGTGAATATTTTATATAAAAAAGTTCCGTTGATGTTATATAACAGTTGTGTAAATATAAACAGATGTGTTTGCTGGGTTCATATATACACCGGTTGCGACCGGCCGCGGACGCTCTCCGAACGGTTTTCAACATTGTAATGTTGTTCTTGGACTAATTAGGCTCGGTAAAAGGTTAGTTCACTACTGAGCAAAAAGTCGAAGATAAAAATTGTTATACCCACTATGAGCTTTTTATATTGTATATTTACCTGGAACTGATCCAGCTCACAGCTATCCGAAATCATTAAGCACCATGCACCTCATATTGATAAAAATATATATACTATGTGAATCAGCAGTGAAACAGTTGCGTTCATGAAAGATTTTTATTGAAGCAGGTTTTCATCAAGTGCAAATAATTTGTGCCGCCTCTATAATATTACGTATCTACCTATAATAGGTGAAACAAATTTGTTTTAATCACAATCATTCTTAGGATCCCCTAATTGGGGCAAAGTTGCACATAATTTAGTAGTCAAATATTTGCCGTCGAGGAATCTACATAATTTCGGTTATTTCCGAGACTTTCCGAAAAAATCGCCTCCTATTTGGCCGCTTTTTTGAAGCAACTTCTTCTTCTTCTACAAAAAATGGCAGTACCATTATATCACATTAAATACGGCCAGAAAAGATAAAAACAGATTGATAAGAAATTTAACTGTGTTCCAATTTAATTATGTTCCTATCTCTCAGGGTTCCAAGGTCCCATTAGAGAGAAACAAAGTTGATTCACTGTTATACCATATTATACTACTATGAAACTTGTTCAACAAAAAAAGCACTTCAATACCAAACAATTCAAATTCATCATAATCCTAATTTCGAGCATCAGCTGTCATGGATTTGTAACCAATATTTTTATTGATGACATACCACTACTACTACTACACTTCCCCAAAATTTGCATGTCCACTACTATGTGCATGTTCTTGAGCTGCTACCTGCCCTTTCAGCAAGATGTTACACACCATACATTTCAATGTAAATTTGTCGACGTCCGTGAACTGTCTACTAGATTTTGCTTCATAAGCAAGCTGTTCTGCATCTCTCAATATTCTCTCATCTTCAGTAGGAAAAATTGTTTGGATCTTACCTCCCTGAAAGTAATAACTGGTTGTTTTCTTTTTTCAATTGATAAGTGCATAATTAGATTATGATACAAATAAGCCAGTCGCTGACGAGTTTTTTGCAATATACTTCTTGACTGTCAAGAATAAAAGTTACGGATACTCATTTCTGACCTGAAATTGGCCGTTTTCGGACTTCTTAAGCAATCATCAATATTACTTAAAATGTATGTTTTTCACATATTTTCTCGTGAATTTATGTCTAAAATATAACAGCAATTGTTTCTCCATTATCTACTGCTTTGGTCCTATTCATCATATTCATCAATTCATAAACTCATCATCAATTATTATTAGGAATTTGAAAGAAATAGTTATTGTGGATGTTTCCTTAATTTTCCGAAATCCATAAGTATGCAGCACCAAACAGTTAGGTCACATCTATGAATTATAAATTTATTTATTGACACGTGAACCTAGAGTAGGACAAAACGTTTTTTCAGTGGAGATGTTGAAAATCTCTCATTACTCAAAGTTATCATCCTGTTTTCGAGGTCACGTTTTGTAATTTTGTGGGTAGCAAATTTTACCACTTCCGGTTCAACCAGAAGCAATATCAACTTTTGATTTTTAAATAGAACACTATATATTGTGACATTCTGATCAGAAAAAAATTTAAGTGTGTGTAAAATGACTCCTTTTGGGATTCAATGAATCTGGAAATGAAAAAAAAATACAGGCTGTCCTATTTAAAAAGGACATGTTAGATGTTCAATAATTGGAAATGTCATGGATGAACAAATTATGATCTATCTTGTCAAAAGCCTTGGACAAATATGTCTAGACTGCATCAATACTGCGTCCATTCTCAAAGGCATTGACAATGTGAGTCTCATAGAGCAAGAGATTTATATTGATAGATATTTATCTTGAAAAAATTTATGTCATCAAAAATTATTTACATTAGATTCAAATGCTTTGGGTGTAAGCAATATCTTCCAATGTCTTCTTCCTGATATTTTGAAATTTGGTATAACATAATGAGTTGATCCAAATATTTGGGAAGATACCTGGAGAAATTTATTGAAAATAATCCAAAGAGGATGGAACAATGAAAAATGCAAATTTATGAATATTTCATTAATACTGATGAAATCAAATTTACCATCTGACCTTATAGTAGATTTTTCATTGGAATATACTAGAGAGACATATTTGACTTGACCAAAAGTGTTTGCAATCTCATCATTAAAGAATACCATATTAGGAATACTGTAATTGAGTTTTTTGTGGGGATACAGTTCCAGAATGATTGAGGATTATAAATAATGCCATTTTCAACTCAAAATCATGCAAGTTGATATGAGTTCTGAGAATGATTAAACTAAAATGGTCCAATATAGTTGAGAAATAAATGAATATTTTGACATCTGGTTCACATAAATAATATAGGGGATGGAACTAAGTCCAATAGCCTGGATTTTTTTCATCATTTGAATTGCAGGGAAAGAAATCCCTATTATGTTCCTGGAACATCATACCTGGGGTAGATAGGGGAGGAGAAAGGTATGGAATATTTTAAAAACTTTTCTTTATAAGTTCTTAATAACAGCAGAAGCAGATGATATGGAAACCAGATGGTACTGGTGAAGTTGGAGGTGAGATGTCTGTAATATGGTGTTTGCACTGATGCACTTTTGTTTTGTCAAAACTTGAGAACAATAAACATTTGAAAATCACATTATAAGGTTCTTGATATATCTCATTCTGATAGATGGCGCTGAAAGAATTCTCTTTGAAATAAAAATAAGGACTCAATAATCACAATTATTGTATCAAACACTATCAAAAATTAACCCTACTTACACTATTTCTGTATTTTTTTGTCATAAGTATAAATGATTGTTGTTATTTGGTTCAATGGCAATTAAAAATATGAAGATATCAGTGCCTTGATCAAGAACACCATATTCTTATAAACTTCTCAGTTGGAGGTCACCTCAGAGGTCACATCAACTGTCAACCTGTATTCATTCATAATAAAAAAAATTGTTCATGAAACTGCATCAATAATCTATATTTAGATGCCTCAATGTTGTATTATACCTATCATTCCTCAAGAATGTCTGAAAAAAGCACAGAATACAGGTGCAGATACAACTCCTCTACATATTGAAACACTCACCAGCAATATAAAACCAGACACCCTGAAATATTGTATTATAAATTTCCCCTAAACATTGTTTTCTATTTCTGTTATTATGGAATTGATTTATTTTCTTCAGTCAATTTATTCACCCAGTATGATCCACAAGCTGCTCTTCAACCTGTCACTACTTACTCTCTAGTTATAATACCTAATGATAATCAAGGGTGAATATTTTTTATTACTGGTGAGTCAAGTGGTGAGTACTAGAGTATAATATTTATGCATTTAATGTCATATAATAGATGACCCCCAACCAGACATGTGCTTCCATAGGCCATAGGGAAGTGAAATCAGACACCCTGCCATCACCAATGAACTTCAAGAAGAAATAATATATCAATATTTCATACATACCACCTATACTGAATGTGCACATACTCTACTTACATCAAATGGTTCCATAAACAGGGGGTCATAGTGAATACCATCAAACAATAAAAATACTCTCAGAGCATAGTTCTGGTCCTCTCCAAATTTATTAATTATGGCATTAATTGTGTCAACAACTGCAATTTCAATTCCATAGTAGTTTGCCAAAATTGCTAGTTCAATTGCTCCTCCCCAGGATGTGTCAGCTTGAATCCATGCACAATACTCATCAACTGGTTTGCCTAGAATGGCTTCATCATAGCTGTGCTTATCACCTTTTATAGTTTCTGCTACTAGCTTTCTCATATATGGTCCAAATGTCCCTGATTCATCTACTTTTCCATTCAAAACAAAATTGATACTGGTGAATAAACAAGAATTATCTGCTGGAACAACAAATTTCATCAGTATTCCTGGACTTTCTATATGTTGCTGTACATCTGCATTATCTCTGGAGCCTAGAGTAGAAGCTGTTTTTGCTTTTTCTTCACTATCAGAAACAGTTTTTTCTTCAAGAATTAGAGTATCACCAGAAGACAATCCACAACTGCTCAGATTCAAATTATCTTTGGTAATGTCTAATACTTTAGGAGGAAATCCAGATAGAACACACAATTTGTTGATAGGGATATTTGACAAACTTGAAAGAGTTTGCTTCAGATCTTCAATAGTGCTATCATGTGATAAATTATTTACAACTTGGTGTCCACTCTTCATTTTTACTCTGAGGGCAAAACGAGTCATCTCCAGACTTCTTTCTAGTCCCTTATCAAATCCTTGCTAGAAAAACCAGATTTTTCAGTTGGAAATATATAATCCTGGTCAGGATGATAGTTTGGAAGTGGTTTGGACACGGTTTTGATAGTTCTCGACCTGAAGTTATATCAATTTATGAATCATGCTTATGAATGGAAAAGAGTCCAAAAATAGAAATAGAGAATAGATGATATGAAATTTGTTTTTGTTTTTCTTTTAACAATAAACAACAACTTTGAATAGTTTGACACTCGACAGATGAAGATGAATTTGTGACTTTGACACAAGCCAATGAAGTGAATGTAAACAACAGTTCATTGAGTGGATGAGAGTAAATTGTTCCAGTTCATTTTTCTCACGAATTTGATACACTTCTTCCATTTTCCAATCGAATTTGTTTTTTGACGGCTTGAATTTATAAATGAAAATTATACAAGACCCCGAGGGGCAGAAAATTTGAAGAAAATTGAAATTCAATACTATTATCACTATTATCAGTTGTAGTAATTTTTCAAGGTGTGATCTAGTACTATTATATTTTTGGTCAGGATTCAGGAACAGTCTACTTATGAAACCGGCAACGCCGCAACCACCACATGTCGAACTGTCGAAGTCACGATTGTAGTCGTTAAAATTGTTTTGATTTGAAAAAAAGTAGATTGAGATTGTAAAAATGTAGAAGGACTTAATAAGATAAGGTGGAAGAAGTAAAATATTGTGTTCAATCTTGGTTCCATCAATTGTTCAATACTATAATTATCTAGCGACATAATTTATTTGCCGTTATTTGGATTACAGAGAATGCATGAATATTTTATGAATGATACATTTGATGATTTAACTCTAGAAGGCACTCATATGCCAATAAAATCATGTAGAGAAGCATCCTTCCTTCACCCCCCTGGAGAAAATCATCCATCTAAAAACTCCCATAGTAAACCAATCACCAATCCTAGAAAAAGTGATGTATCTTTTGATGACTCCTTTTTCCTCTCAGAGTCTTCCTTCTCACTAGGAGAAATTGAAACATATGATAATTCAACATCAAAAAGTAATTGTTGTGAAGAAAATCAACACAAATGTTTGAATAATTTGAAAACTGCTGTTCCTGAAGTAAAAGAACCTTGCAGTTCTAACAGACCTATTCAGGGACATTCAAATGTACTCCCTTCAGTCTTGAACATTGGAACTGGTGGTAAACAGGTTAATGGAGTTGAAGGAAATATAGTGAGTACTCAAATATATATTATTATTCTCTCATTATTTCTTAAATTGTCCTTCCCACAAAGTTCTTAATGTGAGGAGGTACTTATTAGGTACCTACCTATTGGAAAATAGCGAGGAAAATAACCAAACTTTCTTCAATCAACTTGCTATTCTATTCATAATAATATGTATTTTTATGAAATTCCAACATTCCATTTCGTTAATTCAGTGGCCTTTGGCCTTTTCAGGTAGGGTGACCAGACATACTCTTTTTATAGTACAAGTTCTCTTTTTCCAGGCTGTTGTCCTCATACTCATCATTTTGGGAGGTAAATGTCCTCTTTTTTCTGCACCCATTTGGATGGTTTATAGTCAAAATTTGATGATGATAGAAAAAGGACATAAAAAATGAGGAAAGATCAGGAAAGAAAGAGATTTGATTCATCACTCACTTTTTTATTCATGTTTCATATAATAAACTACTAATTAACAAGTTCACAGACAGTGTGTGCTGAAGTTGGACCCCCCTTGGAATCACTGCCATAACTATTGTTCATACATTGTTCATAATGCAAAATGAAATATCCTAATTATTGGGCATACTGATTTATGAAAGTTTCAAAACATTGGACTCATAAAGACAGTTTATTGCATGTTTTGTACCTCCCCAACAGCTTTGTACACTTCTGTGATTTCTTCAACATTGCCTAGATCACAACAATTTTCAAAATGTTAATTCTTTCATATTTCTGAAAATGCCCGCAAAAATGCCTTCCATCTAATATGTCCTTAAAAAATTGCAAAAGCTCTTTTGTCAATTGTGCTGTACAGGAACTATAGAAAACCATCTAAATCACATTCCTAAATAATTAGTATTCACACAGGACTTCCTAATAGTCAACCATTGCAGAACATGCAATTGCAGTCACCTGACACTTGTGATCAATCATATCAATAAGTGGTGATTGCAATGGACAGTGGCCAACAAAATAATATGATGTCTAGGACACTGACTATGAAGCATCATCATGGTGAACATTCAAATATTAATTAGTTGTTACTTGGAAAGTCAGGAATATAAGCAATTAGTTGTGCAGCCAAACACATGTTCAATCACAATCATAACACATATATTAATTACCTCAAATTAGTAAAGTAAGTTGATAATGTGAGGAAATTAGATGCATATAAAAGCTTAGAGATATTTGAGAATAGTAATAGAGTAATGAATAATGATAATGGACCTATTCCGTTTAGCCCTCTATATAGTTTAGTGATATAAGACCAAGGTTAACATGTGAAATCAACCATGACTAACATTAACTTGGAGGTTATTTTCTTTCACGGTTGGATAGATATTTACCTAGTATATAAATAGCACACTACTCGGCACACTAGGATAGAACATTTAGTTTTAATCTTCTCCTGAAGACGCTAACATAGTTAGCAAAACACGTGTTGAGATGTAAAAAATTGGTTTGGCTAGTAGTGGTAAAACAGTGTGTAGTGTATTACAATATTGATTTTCAGTGATCACCGCCGAATATACCAGGATTTGCAATCATTGTAATGAATGTTTTTTGAGAATCGTTCAAAACTCAATCAAACACTGTTAGTTTTGAATGCACATAAATTGACAAATACAGAAGATGAACATATTGAGCGGGTATTTTTGTAAAGCTCGTAAAAAGCTCTTTCCAATGGTGAGAAAATATGTAGGGTGTTCCATTTGAAATTCATAAACTTTTTGCTGCTCCCTATATATCTTCCCAGATAGTAAAAACGTATTTTTTCTGTGACGGGAAAAAAGTTTGGCATTTCATCTCTGTTGGCAGGTTATAAAATGTCACTTTTCATAAATTACTTTTTTCCCGTGGGAAAAAAGTGAGTACTTCTTTCCCGGATATACCTATATCACATATATATACTCTGTTAATGGCTTTTGTTGTGCTATAGTTCCGAAAAATAAGTCAATAATACCGTCTCCGAGAAAGAACTGCAAGTCCTTTTATCTTCCATTCGACTTCGCGGTTTCGTATATTACTAAACAACTACTGAATTCGCAATTTTTTAAAATCAAATAACAGAATTGAACTGACAGAAGTGACATCAGATATTTGATTACTTCAAAAGAATGATGAAGATGTCTATAAAACGCAGGTGTCCCTACTGTTGAAAACTTGAAATTTCACGTCGATAATTTTTAGATTTCGAAATAATGTAATATCTTTCCAATATTGATTCGTCCTTCCTTCTGTCACAGAAAAAAATAGTGTATTATACACGGGAAAAATATTAGATTTTAGCTCACGGTTTTTTGTCTCCCTCCGCTACGCGTCGGGACACAACACAACCTGGAGCTAAAATCTACTACTTTTTTCCCTTGTATAATAAATAACTATTTGTGTTTCAAGAAGGAAAAAAAATCTCCAGTGACCTTTTTTTCAATTTTTCATCTACTGTGAAAAATAAAAGAGTTACCCGAGGTGTTACCTCCAGAGTTACAGGGGGTGGTACTTTTTAACATGTCACCCGGTACAGTGCATCCCATTATGGTTGAAACTGCCAGAATTCTCGATTGTTATTGGAGATAGAACCTTGCAATTTACATTTTCCTCTTGAGAAACTGCGGAAATTTATTCATTTGAGTTTCATTGAAACGAAAACAATTCTGTAAAACAATTGTTTCAGCTACATACTTTTCAGAATTATACATTTTTGAAAAACACTTTGTAACTACATGGAACATGATAGATATGGATTTGCGGTTTTCACCATAGTGTTTGTAGTAATAATTGACCCTCAGGCAACGACATCATTTCTCATCTATATGGATTGAAAATAGGACTGTCTCTTCAAAAGTTTCCAATATGTATCGGCTTTTCGACTGATGAACAAATAAAAAATGCACAAAAAAATTGTCTGACATAGTTTACTTAAGTCTGTCGTCTCACGTGTGTTCTGTGTAGGCTTTATTAATGACTCAATCACCTTAGGAGCAGCACTGGAAATATGACTGCAACAGTCAATCTTGCGGAGCACTCGTTTTGAAAATGGAAAATCTACGCTCTGCTTTCGATGTTCCGATTACTAGTCAAGCGCCTTATCCACTGCGCTATTTTGCTGTGGAGAATGATTCTTGTTTTATTCCTAATTATACCAAAAGACGCCACTAAGCTGTTTTTGAAATATTGACAATCATAGTAGGTATGCCCTAAATATCGATATTATTTTTAACAAATTTGTGCAAAGTAGACTTTGTGATGCTCTGCTCTGCTTGTTATTCTAATTGGTTGTGAAATATGTAAATATGTAAAAAAAATCAGTCGCGAATAATTTTTGATAAAGGAAGGTGCCATGAACAACATACTAAAAGTCCTGACCCCTAGTAGATGAGCAGGGGAGTAGGGAGGAGGCGTTTAAAGGTCATTTTTTCAAGTTATTGAATAATTCGAAAATCGCGCCGTCTAGAAAAAAAAAGTAAGGATACAAAATTGAACAACATAAAATTTCCTATAAAAAAGGTTCAATTCCTTTTTCGTCTAAATTGAATAGTTTATGATAAATAGGGGATAAAAAATCAAGGGAAGAGTGGATCGCTCATCCCAGTGAAAACCAAAGACCCGTAGTACCTGAAGCGAAACTGAACAGCAATTTTTTGCTGATGTTCTACTGGATGTGGGGACGATGTGAGATGTGGGTGCCGAAACGCTGGAATTCCACGTGTACGAATGGTGCACCGTTGCTGGATATGGAAAATTAATTGTTGATTATTGAATTAGACACATTCAAGATGTTTTTTTGCGTCAAACAGCAATTTCATATCATTAAACCACAGCCGGCCCTATAACAAGCCATGGTGAGAGAAATGCAACACCGCATCGCCGTGATCCAAAATGCCTACTCTCGACTGGCGACCACGGCGACATAGGCAAACAATGGTACGCTACCGCTAACCGCGCTAACGTATCGTCAATTCATGTCTTTGACATAATTGAACTTTAATGAAAAAAATAGCAACGAACAATGGGTCAGTTCACAGGTCACATTTTATTCAGTTTCTTAGATAAAATAAAGTTCAAGTTCACTAATTGAGAGGCGAAATCCTACCTAGGTAAGGAAGAATCGAGGGATTTACCACTATGTCTAATATGTGTACACTTGGTGTCCAATCCCGATGTAGTCCGTCCAATACAAGGTCGAATCTCGGCCCAATATTCCTATTCTCGCAATGCAAATGTCAAATGTCGTGTTTATAAAATTCTATAATATTCATCAACATCGGTCCAATCCAAGTAAAACTTTGGACATGCATCTCAGTCAATACTACAACTTGGGAAGATATTTTCAAAACATCTGACTGGGAACCTAATTGATGAAAATAATTTTGGAAAAATTGAGGAAACTGCTGTTTTAACTGAGGGTATCTTAGCCAATTTTTTCAAATTGATCCCTCTGGAAGAGAAAATGGGGTCCAATGTTCACGATGTATTGCAGATATCCACTTTTTTCGCAGTTCTTCATCTTTAGTAAATTTAAGAATCAAAGCATACCTCTGTTCTGAAACGTAATTTGACAGACAACATAAAACATAACCTCAAATCAAAAACTATTTTTGATAAACTTTCACACACAAACATCCTTTCACTTATAATTCGAATAGAATATACCTTACACTCTTCACTGGCTTTCAACAATTCACTCCATTGCATTCACATGACATATATCGTGTATGTGCACATGGCCGACGAAAGACCTTTTAGACATTGTTGCCGAACTGCCTCAGCGCGGCCTTTAGAGCGGGCTATGATTAAACCATAGGGTTTCTTGATACTTCTCGATTGTTTCATCCCCTGTATCTCAGAAACTATTCATTCTATACGAAAAATGAACCTTTTTTACAGTAAATTTCATGTTCAAATTTGAATATTTACACTTTCGCTATAGGCCGCAATTTTTGAATTATTCAAGAATAACGTGAAAAAATTCCTTTCAAACCCTTTCCTCCCCCCCCCATTCAACCCCCACGGGTCAGGACTTTTAGTCTGTTGTTCATGGCACGTCCCCCTACAAATCTAAAAAAATGTGCGACTACAAGATTTATTTCCTCTATTTTTTGTTACTTTACTCAACTACTTGAGTATGTCACACTTTTTTTCATGTGGTATTTACTTTGCTAATTTCACATAGGTCTCATTTCTTTCTGCTTAATCAAATATTCTTCGAGATAGTTGTATGACAGTAGAATCGTATTTTTTGCAATTATTCTCTATAAATCATTTAATTTTTTTTATATAAAATATTTGTGTTACCATTGGAGATTAGAAGAAAGTTTATATAATTCAAAATGCTATTTTAATTCAGTAAACACAGTGTTCCCAATATCTAAAACGCCTTGATGGCTTTGAAGTTTCTGTGGCCATTAATTGAATGGTTCAAAGAAAAAGCTGAATTATGAAGAAAGTTCAAATACTTTTGCCTCTAAAAATGCCTTTTTACCGAAATACAAGGTAGGCTATATAAGATTGCGAACAATTATTTAGTGGTTTGTTACCACCGAGTGAAGTACAAATGATTTCATCAAGGCGAAATTCTAAAAAATTAAAAATTGAAGTACTCTACTTTCATTAGCAATTTGCCATCCATGACGTTGATGTCTATTTTGGGATTGCGATATCGCATCCGTTCCCTCTTTATCTTTATTTGGGTAATAAGTTCCAAGTAATTAGGAGGAATCGATGATTCATTCAGGAATTATAAGTACTATCATATCATAAGAAACACACTGCTTGGTGAGTCAAAGTACTCATTTTGGAATTGATTCGATAAAATTAGATATGAACAAGCAGGACACATACGCAAATTGAATTAGTCAAGTCACAAGCATTAAGTCTTAAGAGATCAATGTTGGTCAACTTTTCTTAAAACTAAAGACTCAAGACTAAAACTTAGGACATGCCAACTGAAGATCATGACTGAACTCTTTTATGACTAAAACTGTTGCATAAATGCACCATGACAGCTAAGGTTTCAGTTAGGTACTTTTGTAAACAGCAAAAAAATATATATGTATATATATTGCATTTTAGATCACAACACAGCACCACAAAAGTGAATGTTAAACCATCACACTCGCATCCCACTATTTCAAGAGGCCGAATATATTTTCCTGAACAAATGTACCTATATCTAATACCTTTGTAATACATATATTTTTTTAATTTAGGAGGAAGATCAACTGAACCAAAAAGAAGCACTTGGGATAAAAACAACAACAATTGACAAATGCAGCAATTCCGAAAATTCAAAAACAATCAAATCAGCTGTAGTTGAGATAAAGCAGTTGTCATCATGGGGACTTCCTCAATCTGTCCTAGATAAATATGAAACACACAAGTTAAAGTCAATGTTTCAGTGGCAGGTAGATTGTTTAAGCATGAAAGATGTCTTGAGCAAAAGCAAAAATTTAGTATATTCCGCACCTACATCTGCGGGGAAAACACTTGTTGCTGAAATACTGGCTATGAAAACAATTTTCGAAACCAAGAAGAAAGTTATATTCATACTCCCATTTGTATCTATTGTGAGAGAAAAGATGTACTATTTTCAAGACATTCTCAGCAGTAGTGGTATAAGAGTTGAGGGTTTTATGGGGTCTTACAATCCACCAGGTGGTTTTAGCTCTGTACAGGTTGCCATATGCACCATTGAGAAAGCAAATAGTCTCATCAACAGACTTCTAGAAGAAGAACATCTAGGCGATATTGGAGCAATTTTAGTGGATGAGATGCATTTACTAGGTGATCCCCATAGAGGCTATTTACTTGAACTACTCCTGACCAAACTGAAATACATTAGTAAAAAAGATGATAACATCAAGATTCAGGTAGTAGGCATGTCTGCAACACTACCGAACTTATCTCAGCTTGCAAAATGGCTGGATGCTGAACTGTATACTACGAATTTTCGCCCAATTCCGCTACATGAACAAGTACAACTTACTGGTGAGGTTTTTGATAAAAACTTGAAACTTGTAAGGAAATTGAACCCTCTTCCTGATCTTGAGGTTGATACGGACAATGTGCTTCAATTATGTTTGGAAACTATTGGTGAATCATGTTCAATTCTCATTTTCTGTCCAACAAAAAATTGGTGTGAGAACTTGGCTCAGCAAATTTCCGCTGCATTTCATAAAATAGGTATGTTGTAGTTTGTAGTTTTTAATGCCTTTCACTATCACTTTTTCGTCATTTGAGAAATTCTAAAATCAAGTAGTTTTGTGTTCCCGAAAAAAATACCGGTTTATTTTACGTTGGGGATGCTGATTCTGAATCTGATAAAAAAAGTTACCTAAAATCAGCCCTAATACCCTTTTTCCAAAAAAGGCCTTATTTACACCCCTCAACATTGTACGCCAATGGTGAATAAAAATGTTCACTATGCCAAATACTCAATTGTTCTAACATTCAATCACCATCAAAATCTCAAGAAAATCGCATCATTAATGACTGAGATATCAGGATATATACATGAAAAGTGGACTACACTGTCTATATATCTTTTATCAATCACCTTAATGTTCATTACATTTTTCCGCACCCTTGAGCATGTCATCATGTTCAAAATGAGCTCCAGTCGATTATTGCAACACTTTATCAAATTTGGGGCTTTCCAGACGATCCTAATCATTTTTCATTGTATTCAATATTTCACTATTCATCATCTAAACTTTTTTCGGTCAATTTGCTTCGTCAACATTTATTTCAATATAGTAATTGATTTGATGCTCTCGATATCTATAAGTGATGGGAAAGCCCTATGTTATAACATGATGTCCTTATCAATTCGATTGAATTGTTTCATCGGCACATTAAATAAGACTGAACTTCACTGATGACGTACGATGTACAATATACATAGTCACAGACACTTTTTCATATAGGTAGCTGCGATTCAAGATGGGGAAAGTTGCTAAGAAGTCAGCTTAACACTAGCTCGATAAGGGAACTTTTGGAGCAGCTCAAGTACTGTCCAGTCGGTCTTGACGATGTCTTGCGTAAAACAGTGTCTTTCGCTGTTGCCTTTCACCATGCCGGCTTAACTCTCGATGAAAGAGATATCATCGAAGCTGCCTTTCGCAATGGAGCGCTGAGAGTGCTTGTCGCAACATCAACTCTATCGTCAGGGGTTAATCTTCCGGCTCGAAGAGTCATTATTAGGACCCCGAATTTTCACGGCAAACCAATGGACACATTAACGTACCGACAGATGATAGGTAGAGCAGGCAGGATGGGCAAGGATTCTGTGGGGGAGAGTATCCTTATTTGTCAGAATTCAAGGTAGGGAACAGGAAAACATTAGTCAACTATTCCAAGTTCGAGATAGATAAGCTAAGTGCCGTAGAATGGGGATACTTGGAACATTTTTCAGATACAAATACACTTTACAAAGTTATTGTTCATGATAAAGAATCTTGCCCTATCCCAAAAGATGTATGAGTTGATGTACTATAATTATAAAAATATTCGTCTCCGCCGGTTCAGTCGTTAGGAAGATATTTTTAAAAAATATCGATGTTCCAAGTTACCCGCAGATTTTAAAACGTGGAACAGAAAGTAAAGGTCTCGTTGTAGTCAATTTATAGACTCATGAGCATACTGGGTGCATAATTTTGTTTTAGTGTTAATGTGTGGTTGATAGGGAGTTCAGTGAGCTTTTGTTGAGTGGTGGAAGGAGGGAAGTTTTTATGAGGTACCTATTATGATCACAAACCGATAAGTACAATCATTCGCGCCTGTTCCAAGTTTCCGTCAAATTTTTTCAACTCTGACTTTCGTAATGAAAAACACTGAAAAACACTGTTCAAAGTTGAGCAGTGATATCGCGTCATTTTGCTAATGAAATGGTTACTATACATGAGTTATATGAAATGATCACTATACTCATATTGAATCCATCATGTCTTTAGACTTGAAGCTTTTAATGCTTTTTTTTTTTTTTTTTTTTAATTGACTCGGCCGTTACTTGATGGAAATCCATGGCAAATGTAAAAACTCCACAAACGATAAGATTTCCACAAAATTCTTAAAACACAACATGTTTCGCTAACACAGTAGCTTCGTCAGGTGATATAGGTGGTTTAGTTCATTGTACCAGTATTTGATGGCTGTGGAATATGTGATGATTTCATTATTAAATTTGATATCAAATTTCAGTTCACTTGAGAAGCGTCGTTTAGAGATATACATAAATGCTGATTTGCTGTAATTTATACTCAATTTATTATAGGACAACTATGAAGATAAAATAATCAAGTCACTTTCAATTGCATTTCTGATTTGTTGAATTGAGTCTGCGGAATAAATCAACGTAGTGTCATCAGCGAACATGTAAACTTTTCCTTTCAATTTGATGTTAACAATCGAGTTGATATATACTGAAAATAAAGCCTAAGATAGACCCTTGTGGTACTCCACATATAATTTCATTACCTGTACTCAAAACTGTTCCTTGATAAACAATAATAATTTTCATCTAAAGAAGTAGTATGAATTTGGTTCCACCGAGTGAAATTCATATGTTAACATTATTATATATATGTTTTTAATAGTGTTCATGTATCCCTATTATAAACAGATATGTTTCTTGTGATAATAAAGGCAACTAATCAATATTTCATTATATCTGGTTATATATATATATATATATTTATTAAACCATTTTAGCATACATATTAATAAATACATCTAGCATTTTGTTCCTAATCAGCAACATGCTGGTGACGGAACATTATAATTGACATATGATTCAGTAACAATTTCTGTAGTTACCATAATATACATTAGTATACATTAATATACTTATACACAAACAACAACAATTACAATCTTAAGTATATCATAGTACAGTAGTTTGTTGATTTATGTGCTGAATCAAGTTTATTTTAAATGAAGAATAATCGAGAAATAATTTATGATTCTGTGAAAATATTTTCTCAGTTCAGTTCTCACAAAAATCGACTCATCTTATAAAAATACAAGATAGGAATAAGTTTCTGAAATTCTTCTCTGGCCCCATTGAAGAACTTTACTTGTTTTTTCTTCCTTACACTAAAGCAGGCTGTGTATTTTTGCAAGTTAAATCATCTCAATTTTTACAAAAAAAAACAACCTATTTCATGAAGATACACGATAGGAAGTTTTTGAAATTTCTTTCTTGCCCTACCTCCATGGGAGCCACTTCAATCGTGGTTTTTTTCATGAAATATTGCGGACTGGGTATTATTGCGAATCAAATAATCTCAATTTTCTCAAATATCCACTAATCTTATGGAAATACAAGATAGAAATTTTTAAAAATGTTCTCAATATCCCCTGGGACGTACTGTACTGGTGTATGTTCTTCAAATGTCCTCAATTACCGTTACCACTAAGTTAACAATTTTTTCATCAATCTGTGTATTCAAAAATCTCTCCAATTCATCCCGATATCAGTCGGAATCAAATAAAATAGCAGGTCTCCAGAATTATCATACTCAATCGAAGGATCAAAATGGTGAATATATTGCATCAGCATATGCTTGGATACTAGAGATTTTCACAGATTTGAGTTCTCTTCGACAAATAACATTAATTTGATAATCTGACTGATGTATTATCAAATCCATAGTATTTTAGTTCAAAGACCATGCTCAATAGGGTCAGAAGCCTTTGAAAAGTCTAAAGCAACCAGAACAGTTGACTACCTATTCATCAAAGATTGCTGCTTATGCAATGTAACATGAAGGAAATACATATTTTTGTCCCACTTCAGAGACCTCAGAATCGCAAAGGAACTTATGAATGTTGATTTGAGACCAGTAGAGAGTTGTTTGGAGGGGCCTGGTAAACTAAAAAGGGCTATTTTGGAAGTCATTGCCAGTGGTGTGGCTTCTAGCCCCCATGATATAGATCTATTCGCCAGTTGTACCCTTTTATCCATTGAAGATAGAGATGATCAGATTATGGATGACCCTATCAAGGAAGCTGTTAAATTTTTGAATGACTTTGAATTCATTCGATTACAAAAATGTGAAGATGGAACTGAAACATTCATTGCCACCTCTCTCGGTAAGTAAGAAAGTATAATATTCAATTCTTCTGTTTACTAGGCCACAATTTTGAACATTACATTTATTATCCTCCTAGTGGACAAATGGTATGCAGCAAAAAGGCACTGATTTTCCACCTCTAACTGTGTGAACATTTCCAGGAAAAGCTTGTTTATCCTCATCAATGGCTCCCGACGAAGGTTTAGCGTTATTCACAGAACTGGAAAAAGCAAGACGATGTTTTGTGCTTGATTCTGAGTTGCACTTGGTATATCTGGTAACACCTTATAGTGCTTGCCAGTCTTGGGGTAATATTGACTGGATGTTCTACTTAGACCTTTGGGAAAAATTACCTGGTCATATGAAAAAAGTTGGGGAGTTGGTCGGAGTTAAGGAATCCTATATAGTCAATGCCACTAGGGGAAAGCTGCAAACCAACACGAATAAATCGTATAACCAGCTTTTGGTACATAAAAGATTTTTTGTAGCTCTTGCATTACAGGTGAGATAGTACTGTTAACTATTGGCTTAGTTGAATTTTCTTCACAAACATAGTCTAAAATGATCCTTTCTTGTATAGATAATGTAGTATGGTACTATTTGTTTCTAAAAATCGATGCAGATTACTAAGGAAGGAAGTTTTCATTATCGCCAGACAAATATGGACCTCAAAAACGACTGATCATGTGCAGCGTGATGTTCTAGTCATGTTCACGTCATTTACGGGTCTAAGTTCGAAAATAGGATGTCAATAATTAGGAGCTTCACAATAGATCCCTGTCAACAACACGTTCAACCTCTACGTCACACGCTACTTGACATTACTTAGGTGGAAATATATCCATCAGTCCCTAACTAGAAAGTTAACCTTCGGAAAAACCTCAAATCTCATGGTAATGTTATCTTATTCTTGTCAGCCACTCGATTATGTATTGATGTTACAAATAGATTTGGTAAAAAAACACATTATGAATAAAAGATATCTCAGAGAAATTGCCTTTTTAGTTGATGCGGCTCCTAAAGTAGGTAATAATTTTCTTCACTTCATTAAAAAAACGAGCCAGTGCTATAGTTCGACTCGCCAACGGAGACCGGGGACGAGGGGGAGCGGATGAAGACATTCAGTACGCTATGCTTGAGTATCTAAACAATTCGGTTTGGAGATTACGTTGCTTTTATCAAGTCACGAAGGATATGAATGGCTGCACGTTTGAACTGATATCATCATTTCTATCAGGCGCTTGTGATTTCGTTTTTAAATTGACAGTGAGTTGATGATCGCAACATTTATATTGTGCTCTGGGCTCACATTCTCTCCGCCGGTCATCTTTTACGAGCCGCACTATAATTATTGTTCTAGCTCGGTGCTAGGGCGCTCTTTAAACCGGCTAGGAAAACGCTATTATAATTTCAGTATGTCCAGTTCTGACGCAGTAATATGTAAGTTTCCATATCATGTAAAGTGAATCTCATTTTGGTTGAGACTGACAGGTTTCTTGGTTGATATTGAAGATAGAGCATTGCGATTTTCGCGATCCTGTCGTACTTTTTTGTTAAACTCTAGATGGCCTAATCAGATTTTGCGTAACTGTTTCCGTTTTATCAGATAAAGGGCGATTTTGAAGATCAATACTTTTTGGACCTCTTCTATATCCACGTAGGTGCACTATGTCTAACAGAGAATTTTACATACAATCCAGTGACGTACTTGAATAAATATAAATATTTTCCGGGGAACGGAACGAGAACGGAAATACAATTTCCGGGAGCGTTCCGAGATATTCGGGAAAACGTCGAAAGTTTTGCACCTTTTGGTGTTTTTTGCCCATAACTCGGAAACTATACATTCTAGCGAAAAAACCACTCTTGCTCATGAATGGAAGACTAACGGGTGAGGAGCTAGGGCGAGTTGAAGATAGACCAAATTTGTCTATTTTGCTAAAAATAGTGTTCTTCATAATTTGTTACCAACTTTTTCAGAGATACTGTATATATTTATATTTCACAACTTTGATGAATATATAACAAATATTTAGATGTGTCCAATCGAATTCCAAATCCAATCAACATTGTTGTTGCATAATGAGCTACTTACTGAGGCTTTGTATCCTGTGTTCTTGCCTATTTTCTACAGTGGTCGTAGGTAAAAAAAAATCGGATTCGAGTCTTTTTCGTTATTTGCATTTTGTGAGAACATCTACCATAGTAATGTATATATTTTTAACACCATCAGAAAGTAGAGATTTCAACGAACAAGAATCCCACATTGAAGCAGATATTTCAACGCGAGAATTTTCGATTGAGAATTAGGGTGCTTTTTCGATATTAAGTCAAAATAAGGTGAACATGACAGTGTGTTTGGAACATGAAGAGGTTAGTTTTCACCAAATTTTGTGAAAAAAAAAATTGTTTAAATGAAAATAAAAAACCAAATACTTAGATTCTTCACATAAATTTTGAGGTTATGTGAAAGGAGTGTGGATACGCATGTTATAGATCTTTTCATTATCTACAACTTTGCCATTCAACTTTTTCCATAAGACTTGTAGTTTTGCCAAAAATCGAGATAAACCGTTTTTTATCCTTGAAAACTCACCCCCGTAATTTATATTTTCTCCATGATTGTTTTATTGTATATGTATAAGGAATATGTTGTTGTATGAAAGTTCATATATCAATTTGATGTGTATTGCATTACATGGTATATTGTATTATTTAATAATAAAATTATATATTTTGATAAAAAAAAGGAATTACTTTCAGGATTTGGTGAACGAGAAGCCTCTCAACTGGGTATGTGCCAAATTTAGTTGTAACAGAGGCATGTTGCAATCATTACAACAGTCATCATCCTCGTTTGCTGGAATGGTAACATCTTTCAGTCGGCAGTTGGGTTGGAGCAATGTGGAATTGCTGATTTCCCAATTCCAAGATCGAATGCAATTCGGAGTCAGCAGAGATCTATTGGATCTCATGCAGCTTCCCATAGTGAATGGAAAAATAGCCAGAGCATTGTTCAACGCCGGAATTGAAACATTGGTACTCTTAGCAAACTCTGATATCTCGACCATAGAGCTCATCTTATATCGGGTAGCGCCTTTTGAAACTGTGAAAGGAAAAGAGGGGGAGTCCGAGTTTGATCAGAAACAGAGAAACAAATACAAGAATGTCTGGATTACGGGAAAAGAGGGATTGACAGAAAGGGAAGCTGCGGAAATGTTAGTTGGGGAGGCGAGAAGTTATTTGAAGTTGGAAATGGGGTTGGCAGAGGCTAAATGGGCTAGCAACGTCGATGAAAATCAGGAAAAGCCTACTGGGGCTGAAATTGTAAGTATAATAAGTTTGTTACTAATTTTAGGATGATGTAATAAATTCACACATCTGTGGTGTACATGAATCTGAAGTGAAAAATACACATCAAGATAGTCAAGTCAATGAGACTTTCTAACAGTTCAGTATTATGCAAATAGACTAACAGACTTGATCATCAGTGTTTGAAATTGTTGATCAAAAATTTCATTATTTCAAATTTTAGTCATATAGAGCAGGGAAGTTTGTGAATACACGGATTCAAACCTTCATGGAATGACAACTGATAGACAGTGAACAACACAATAAAAATGAAAATACCTCACACAATGTGCATCCGCTTACCAGTTAAGTCATCTCGCTAAAGTTCATTCCAACTATGAAAAGAGAAACTGGGAAGCCCTGACCTTTGCTTTGATTGTTTGATGTTGGATTATTATTATTAGCCTTCAAGTAAAGGGAAAAAACTCACTGTCACTTGGGCAAGTTGAAATTCGTTGGACACATGTTTTCGGATACCTACAGTAAGTAACCAGAAAATCATTACCTAATCCATGAAAAAGAAAATAGGCGAGTTGACTATATTTTTTTATTTCTTGAGTATAATTATTACTCAATTACCTTTCAATTCCATATTTTATAGATTCTCTCGGTCGTTTTCAAGGTGCTAAAATCTTCATAAATTCTGAATTATTTTTTGGTAATATTCTTAATCAGCTATAAAAATCCGTTGTCTTGTAATGTTTCCTCTTATATGTTGTTTCAATAATAATTATATTAATTCACACACATGGGAAATACCGGCCAATTCCATTATTATTCCAACAAACACCGAAACGACCGCCTAGAATCAACCCATTAATATAATTCCAACCCACAATATCACTCCGTTTCATAATTAATCTCTTCCCATTATTTCCTACTTTGAAACTTTAAAACAAACCCCTTTCTTTACGATAATTCCTGAACTCTTTATACCCATTACTACAAACCGAGACTTATAGCACGTTCCCCGATGTTGAATATGAATACCTGTAAACTCAGCGTCCACACGTTCAGGAACCGTACATCACTCCCTAACCCTAAAAAGCTGACGCTCCCGAATTTTTCCGAAAAAAACCCGCAAAGTCCCACGAAAACCCCAAAATTCTCGCTTCCAAAATTGAGCGGACTCACCCCTGCGTCGCGTTCGCGTTCCCGAGATCAATTTCGAACAACGCTTAGACACTTTATTCACATAAAAAACGCGTAAGAAATGTTGGAAAATTAATTCATTAATACTGAAAACGAAAATGGCGATCATTTGTAAATGTTACTTCATCTCTTGAAGGGGTTGAAACGAAAATACCATGATCCATGCCATGATGGTTTCAGTAAAAAAGTCGTTGATGTGGAGACGACTGTGAGTTTTCTTCCCTTTAGTTGAAAAAGACAACTAACTACACTAATGGATTCACTTGAATATTAGCTTTGTTCGATTTTATGTCTCATTAGGTGACGTTAGGAATAGTGTTTAGTTTTAGAATAAATCCGAAATCCGAGTTGCTCAATGAAATATGCTCCATAGTATCATTTCACCAGCGTGAACATCAATTCAGGAACTGCTCCACCTACTATCAACATATGGAATCTACTTTCGTTTTCAAATGCATCTTATATACACTGAGTATGACTAACTCTGGTATTACTTGATTTTTTCTAAATAGTATGTTTCCTTGCTTGGAATCTGCTTTTATTCATAAACCTTCTGAAAATTTTTATTTTTTCAAGGAAACTAAAGAAATCGATCCATCAGAACAGGAAACGCTTGAAAAAACAGTTTCCAGTATTGCCAATCTTTCCAAAATTACCACTGATAGTATTCCGAAAGAGGATAATAAAGTAGAATCAGTCGATGTTGGGTTTAATCCTAATTCGTCATTATCTTCGTCGAACATGAATATTTCATATATGTCTAGTCAACATTCTGGAGAAGATTCGATAGAAATCGAAGATGTAGAAGATGTTCCTGAGGAAACCGAAAATTTACAAAAAACGTTGAAAATAAATCTCCATGATGTATCACAGAACACTAACACCGACTGCAACATGTTAAAGGTATCATCACCAGTGAAAATACATCTTACTACCTCAAATGCTACAAAAGGAGAAATGGAAGGACCTGATGAAGTTTCACTTGGAAATGTTGATGAGAAAATCACGAAATTGAATAACAATGCGGGCCACCAATTTTTATCCCCAATACCACTTCAGTTGAAGAGCAATAATATCAATGTATTGGTACAAGGCACGCATTCTGATCAAAGCCTTTTTGATGAAAGTTTTGACTTGCATCTGAGTGGGAGTGAGGGAGATACATCTAGTCGAAAAGGTAAATACTTACTCAAATGGTTTGAAATTGATTAGTTCCAAATACTGTGTGTAGGTTAATCGAGAAAGGGGAACATTCAATTTTCTGAATCTTCAGGATTCTCTCTTCGTTTCTAAATTCTATATAGCGTTTTTCTATTATGAAATGATGATTTTCCCTTGTAAAAAAAATAATAGCTATATTCAATTTACCGAGGCTGCCACATTTTCAATGATGAGATATCAGTGAAATTGGGGGGATCATTTCTAGAGAGATTGCAACTTCTGGTTTAACCAACTTCATTTTTATTATATACCATAGATTAAAATCTATGTGCGGTACCCGCCTATGGAAAGGCATCTGACTCGACTCATATACTGATAGCTTTGCTGATAGTGACTAATATAGTTTTATGTAATGTAAACGGGATAAGGTTGGACTCATCATCAATTATTCAGATATTGTAGAGACTAGTTGTACCTAACAGAAGTTGAATATACATGTTTATTGTGCCTACGTGTATAATTGTGAGTCTACCCCAAGTAGCCTACTACATATGATTATACAATGTGTCCTTAGAACAGTGAAAAAGTTTAATATTTTATCAATAAACGTTTCAAAAAATCACTATCAAATATGTGATTTCATAAGAACTAACTTCATCAATGACTATTTTACACAGATTGTTTGTAGTATCGTTACATATAGGGTATACGAATAGCAACATGATTCGGCTGTCGTACGTATTCGCTAGTCTCCGCTGGAATATTTAATATTGAAGGTCTCAAATGAGCAAAAAATACATACATATAAATAGCAACATGATTCAGCTGTCGTACGTATTCGCTAGTCTCCTCCGGTATATTTAAAATTGAAACTGTCTAACTGTCAAATGAGTAAAAAATACAGGTACATTGCAACTTCACTTCTTAATCATATAATTGTCATGCATTCCATGTCATTACAAGTCACGTAAATAACAGATGACTCCCCAACCACACTAGTGTCGGTACGCCAAGCCAGAGATGCCAAGCCAATTCATTATTCAGTGTTGAAAAATTGTTTCCTTGAATTCACAGCTTTCTTAGTGTACCTGCATCCTACATATTCAACTTTTTTGCAATTGGTTAACCTACATTCATTCAAACAGAAATTACATGAACGTCACAATTTCCAATTTTCAACTTCTGTTTTCTTCTAGTTGAATCTGTTAGTTTTCTTGAAGAAGCTTTCAGTGAATCATTTGATACCCAAGATCGGAGTTCAACTCCGAGCGATATACACATCTCACCTTTTTGCGATGTTGATGCGAATAAAATAAACAAGCGCAAAAACAACAACATCGAATTGGAAACTCCTACCAAGAAGCTTAAAACTAGTAATGAAAACATAATAGATGAAGATGATATCAACAACTCCTATATTTTAAATAAACTGAAAGACCAACCGATGACTGACTTCAACAAAATGGAAATAGTCAATGTGTGCCAGGATAAACATTTATTTGAAATATTTTGCTCGGAAATAAGAGGACAAACAAGTTTTTCTCTGTCTTTGGCAAGCAAGAGAATCATCAGTACCAAGCAGACTATTGGTAACATTGTTTCAGAAGCTATTGAAGAATTTCAAGTTAATTTTACTGAAGAAGAAAGGAAATTAACTGGCGTAAGTTTTGCCTGGGGTGAAAACTTTGTGTATTATATCAGCCTGGACAATCCTGACTACTATCAAAAATTCGTAGAAGAAATGAAATTAATTCTCAAGAACACAAGTACAAGGATACGAATGTTTGATGCCAAGGAACAAATAAAAGCCCTGAAATACTGTTGTGATCTTGATTTTTTATCGAAAATTGATGATCCAAAGATTGCTGACTGGATTTTAGACCCAGAAGGAAAAGAAAAAACCTTGAAGGCAATGGTAAACGTTCCGCACTTTATTTCACGAAGTATTTTTCACTCCACCACATCTCAATTAGTAAGATATATTCACGAACATCCATCGCCTAAGTGGGACTCGAACCCATGCCTTACGAACTCAGCGCCTTTGCGCTCTCGATCACTGGGCCGCCATATAAAACAGTAACCTTGTCATCAAAAAGGGGCCCACCTTACATGGTTTGAGGTAGTAGGTTTTTTTATATATATATTGTTTGGGATAGTACAGAGATGCCAAATCCAATCTTTCGACCTGGGCGACCTTCCGGATCACCGCTATATAATGTTTAAGCGGCTAAAAATTTGCACTTTTTTCAGATTTCACCATTTTTGACCCAGAAGGGGTACTTTTCCAACAAAGACAACTCTATTCATTTTTAAACTACATAAAATTTCCTAAATACTGAGCTGAGTATGATTACTGTAGGCCTGATAGTTTACGAGATACAGCTGTTCAAAGTTGCAAAATGGTGTCATTTAATGAGAAACAAAGACACAAACATAATGGTTACGAGAAAAAGTAAATAAAGAAAGTAGGTATAATATTATTTTGTATTATTTCACATTGAGTACATTTCAGTTTTGTTTGAACCTCTTAGAAGGTCCAGGTTCAAGATTTTTTTCCTGGTCCAGTTCTTGCTCTTGAGGTCTCTGAGGATTATAGGAAATCTTCATCCAATTCATCGTCATTTAGTAAGTCGATATCAGAAATTTCCATGATAATCTCTGTTCGATTCTCACATGACTGTCCACTGTATTGACCGCAGACAATAGAACATGTCAAGCAAGTAGACATCATCACTGGGGAGAGGCCATGTTCTGTTAGAGTCTATCCCCATTCAAGTGGACGTAGACTTGTTGGTGATTCTCAATGGCTTCACGAATCCCACACAAAATAACATCTTCCTTCAAAAATGTGGAAGGGGAAAAACATCAATATCACCTCAATATCTTCAGACCACCATCTCATCCCTTTCATCCATGCCTTTAGTGGATGGGATTCCACGTCCTCCTTTCTTGGTCAAGGAAAAGGCAAATTTCTCTAAAGTATTCGAAGGAATTTTGATTTAAAGGAGAAATCAGCGGTTTTTACCAAGCCCAATGCAACGCAAGATGAAGTAACTGAAGCAGGAGAACAAATTATCATCGCAATATATGGTGGAAAACACTGCACACGAACCCTCAATGACCTGCGCTATCAGATCTTCACTAAGGCTGATAAAAAAACAATTTTAACCTTGCCAGACTCCCTCGAACTCTGCTCGCTACCACTCATTTCGTACTTATCTATGGTACTTATCACCAAGTGCAAAGATGGATGGGTATAGACATCAGTTCACTTGAATGGGGATGGCGGTGATCCGGAAGGTCGCCGAGGTCGAAAAATTGGATTTGGCATCTCTGTACTATCCCAAACAATATGAAAAAAAAAGAAACCTACTACCCCAAACCATGCAAGGTGAAATGTACTAGGTGACTGGATTAATATGGCAATGAAGTAAAACGGGGTGAAGTCGATTGGCACAGGTGTTCGATCAAACCGTTTTTTACATTAGTTTTTAAGTATATGACAACAACGTATTACAAATCAGCCGAGTTTTATTCACGCTTGTGTGGCCAATAGGCGAACATCCATTATACCGGTGGTGCAGGTTAATCGTGAAAACTGAGTTTTCCAAAAATAATTAAAACAGTAAAAAGCCAAATTTCTGAATCTGTAAAATATGCGAAATCAAACATTTTCAATGCCGAATCTGTCAACACTAGGCCCTCCAGATAATGAGCAATATATTTAATAAAGGGTGTCCACAATCAGACATGGGAATTTATTTTTGGTGTGGTTTCAATTGCAATTTTTGTGTGCAAAAACAAAACACCTGGGTGAAATGTATCACTTGTTAAGTCTTGAGATCATGTTTGAGGCAATTTGTTTTTGTATGATTTTATCTTATGAATTATGTGTGCTAGCATATCCCGACATCTTGAGAAGGGCAGCGGGGACACAAAATATGAAGATATCTCAGAGACTGAAATAGTTGTAAGGACACTGTGTAAATATCCATCCAACAAATCTGTGTTTTTATATTTTTCAAAATATTTCGGATGAGTCTGTCATAAACAGGGAACATATTTTCTGAGTCATTTCAAAAGCACCAAAACGGGGCAAATATTTCTTCTCGCTTGGAGAAGAACTGAATACCAGTAAGGAATTTTTATATGTTCGTTTCGTTTTTTTTGCAATTCCGTTTTATACTTCTTTATTTTTATTCATATTTTTAAGTAAGTATTAGTATTAGCTTTCCAATCATCTCAACGACGAATTTCAAAATAACGAATTTTTGTGATCGACTTCACCCTGTTTGACGTCATTTGTAAAATTCTTTATCACGAATGATAAGATTGTTTGACGTCATTTATAAAATTCTTCATCACAAATGATAAGATTTCAATTAATATGGAAACTGGGTAGTCCATTTGAAAAACTTCAAAACTTTCCTGAACATGATTTTAGATTGAAAACAAAATATTTATAGATGGTTTGAAATGTAAAAATACATTATCAATTTGGTATCAATTAAATTGAATGAATTTCTGGATTTGACATCTTGAACTATTGAATTTGTTCACAGGCTTTGAAATACTGCCCCGAAGCAGCTGAACTGTCACAGTTGTGTGTCGGTTGCAAAGGTGTAGGTAGTGTAGGTCTAGATTTGCACAGTCATGTAGAGGCAAAAACTAGATCTGCTGTGGAAGCTATGATAACTTGGCATTTGATGGACACGCTGAAGGATTTGCTGAAAGAAGAAGATCCAGGGTATTTGAATATATATGGTATTAATAACGCTGTGAAGAGTGCCGACATAGAAATTCAGTTTCTAATGGTGTACTCTTCAAGTTTGTAATATAGAATTAGCCTCACTTTCATACTGCTAGATTTCATCTTGGATGATGTCATCTTCCGATAATTTATTTATGAATATCAAAGTGGAATAATTAGTTGACAGAGAGTCAAAACTCAGTCATTTCCACAAAATGATCCATTAATTGAACAAATAAAATATATCAACGGCCACTACGATGTTACGATCGTTCTTAAAAACCCTGTATATTAGGTTATGGGTCCTGATTTGGCCAACAATATATCTGTCATCTAGTTTTCTACGAGGACGTCAAGAGTTACTCCCCAGTGGAATAATAATCGCTCAAGAAACTGGTTGTCTTTGTCTGTACTCTATCCATAGCAATATTTCAATATGTACCTGGCGTCTTATTTGAATTTTTATTTTGTATTTCATGACACAGAAACTGAGGCAGATACTGTTTTATGTCTGGCGAACATGGAGTTGAGTGGTATGAGTGTTAGTAAAACATCTCTCCAAGAATTAGTTGGAAATATAAAACATCAAATAACTGCAATTGAAACCCAAGCATATTCATTAGCGGGCAAGCGTTTCAATTTTCAGTCATCGAAGGAAGTTGCAAAAATCTTAGGCAAGTGTCTATCTATTAGCGGAAAGGAACACATTTTGTATTGAAACGATTTTGGTATACTTTAGTGTATTGATATAAAATTCTAGAATCTGGATCTGGAATGAAGATTGAAATCATATTTAAATCATTCCATAGGAAAGACAGTCAGAATATCATCCAGAAAGTACTATAGTAATCAAAAATGCATTGATTGTTTCATTAGTCAATCAGATTTTCCAATCAGACCTGGTAGATGTTGATTTCAAATTCATATCCGATAAGGCCGTGTCTATCCATCGGGGCGCATTGTCCTGATTACATTATTTTTTCAAACTTGAATTACTTATAAAGGTGAGCTTGTGGTACAGTGAGCCACGCAACACCAGCGGCTTCATTTTTATTTTGTTCTCTCAAGTAATTTCCCGAACATATTTTCTACGAAGACGGTTAATTAAGGCCGAGTTAGGTCAGATTGTTGAAAAAAAGTAGTCTCTTTTATTCTTTTTAGTAATTTTCCGGTTAATTTAAGGAAAAATCTTGATCACTCAAGTAATTTTTCTAAAAATATATTTTTCCGGAAGAAGGTTTATTAGGGCCGACTTAGGGTAGATTACTTAGAAAAAGTAGTTTCCTTATGCAGAAAGGCTATTTTCCATCCTTACATTGCGTTATTATACCGGGTGACACAAGGTATCGGATCACCCCTGTAACTGCTGCATCCTTAAACGGATTTTTTTGAAATTTGGTACAGTTGAATAAGCAACCATTTCAAATGCGATCACATTAGAATCCAATATAGCGGACTTCTGGTTTTTCTGGAAATGCCAGCAACTTGTTTTTTCAAATGGAACACCCTGTATATTTTCACATATTCAAGTTCATCAGGTCAAAACAAGTGCAATCTCAATATGAAATGTCTTTTCGAAAAAATTGAAATTATTCGAAGTGCAAGGAAATTCATGAACTAACTACATAGTTGTTTTCTAAATGTACACAGCACCGAAATACAAAAATATGTAATTTTTTTCCTTGATGTATGTTCTAGAGAGACATTCGCGAACGTTAGCTACTTTTTTGTGAAACTCACGATAACGCAAACAAAATTTGCATAGCCTGCTTCGTTTTTGTGTTACCGGGCAAAATTGAAAATGTTGCATTTTGGGACCCCCCTGGTATCTCAGCTATCTTTCAGCTTATAGGAAAAGTAAAAACTGTCACTTATATAGTTTTTCACGTGGAATCTAGTGGCGTAATCAGATTTTCAAAATAAGCTGTTATTAAGTAGATATCACCCATAGTTTTTTTTTCTATATAGAACGCCCTGTATATTTTTTCATATTTGAAACATTGATGCTTTGTGCTTTCGAAAAATATGTAATACTTCACCAACACGGGTCGTGGGAACCGATCTTTTATTGTCTTCGAGTTCAAAGACTAATAGAATTGGGCTCGAGTATGGGAAGTATGATTCTCTTATTCCATTCTGTAGCAAATCATCTGCTACAGTTTGCACAATTTTTGGTTCATTTCGGAGGGACGATATGGCCTATAAGTGATTGGTCTATCATCGTGTAGATGTATTTGCATCTTCAAGATGTCCGTTTTGACCAGTTCACTAGTATTTTGAGCACAACAACATCGAAATTCATCAAACAAATCTACCATACGATTGTTGTGTTCTGAATTGAGTTTATTAGACGACAAATCCCCGATGGAAAACAAATTGAAACTCTATATGGTAACACATGAAGCAATATTTCTAGAGGAAACAAAATCATTTTTTCTGCAACCGACACAAAAGTCGTCCATTTTGATACCAAAATTAGCTCTTAAATTGACGTTTCTATTACTGTCACAAAAATAGGTATGTTGCTAGGCAACATATTTAGTTCCTAGGAGCTAAAGTTGAATTTTAGTTCCTAGGAGCTAAAGTTGAACTTTAGCTCCTAGGAATTAAAAATGATGTACTGGAAGTCATCAAGAATAAACAACATCGTGACGGTTGGTTATCTGGGTTGAGACGCATACCTGATTTGTTTCCGATTTCAGCAGATTTGGCATTTCATACCCATGCTGGAGATATAAATACACCTTATTATAGTTTAGTATTGGAATTATGAAGATCTCAGTTATAAGTATTTTTGTTTTGATCAGGAAAGCCTTCAAGATTCAAATACTTGCTTGATCTGTATTTCATTCGTTATTCTCGGGATGGATAACTTGTTTTTGAATAATCACGGCAAGGCCAAGCAATAGTTTTTTTGTCTCAAACAACGGTATTGTTTAGCTTCATTCGATCATCAAAACACAGTGTAGTATGGAGAGGAATAAATAATCACTATTATCATTGTTGATATGCTCACTAACCTAAAATTTTCCACGTCTTGTTCCTATAGCTGGCTCTAGCGCGGTGTTTGCCATTAGAGCACCTGGTCCATACACAAATATGTCACTCTGTGGTGGTATTTATATTGAAACTTCAATTCGAACATCCTAGAAAACCTAACCTGCTGTTAATGCAGGTAGAATATTCTCACCACATGGATTATTTGTCAATATTTGTTGCATTGCATACATACATATGGCACGGCATTGGTGGTTACTTCACATGTTTATTTGAGTTAATTGTTTCGGTTGCAGAAAAAATAGCATGTTTCATTCGGATCAAAAGTGACTTTGTTCAACTCGCAAATTTTGCATTCGCTCGGCTTCGCTAAACGCTCCGCCTCGCAAATGCAAAATTCGCTTGTCAAACAAAGTGTCACTTTTGATCCTAATAAAACAATCTACTATTCTAGACAATAGACAGCCCTAGCCAAAAATATACTATCACTCACCTCGAGCTCATGCGGAGATTCATTCACTATAGCTGTACTATGCACTAGTCACTAGGAACTATTCACAAATTGTCTTAAAACTATATACTGCTTTCTGTGAAGAATTCTACTGGACGAATAATAACACCTTAACACTATTGAATCACAAACAATCACAATATAACACCTGTCACCGTCGTGATCAGGCAGAGACTGACTAATAATTCTCATATCGAATCATCCTTCCTCGCATTTCGGGATGAGTAAGCCGTTATACAACTCTTCGTAGTTGTACTATCATATCAGATACAAGGCGTATTTTACATTTTGCATAAAATCTCGAAAAAAAAGTTAAGTACTCGAATTATGAATTTGCATAATACGGGATACTAAAACACGAACATAAATATATGCGTATTTATTCAAGTGTCGAATACAACTGACTTCGCGAACACCGTCGCCAATAGATAAACAAAGCTTATAAAAAAGTGTAGTTTTTGCTATCCTCGACTATGGTCTCTTTTAATAGGAAATTCCATAAACATAAATAGCTATATACATGACACCCCTTCCTCTAAATCAACAGTAATATCTTTTCAATCCACCCCGTAGAACTCGACAAATCAAAATGGTTACCTATAACACCTACTATTCCTAAAGTATACAGATTACAAAAATAAGGTATTACTTCACTATCACATGATCAATCTTTCTGGTGGTTTGATTTTGCTTCGACGTCTCAAAACTCGATCAGACTCACAATTTACATTCTCCCGCACTTCAAGTTCCCTGCACTCATTCTCATCTAAATTATTTGCGAGTTCATTTGACCTCAATGAAGATCGTGGAATGACAGAAACGCATTCTTTTTCAGTGCATGAGTTATTCAAAATAATTTGGTTAGTATGGCGCTTCCACTTCATACCACAATCCGTTTGTACCAGGTAGGTTCTTCGACCTAATACCTCCACAATTTTAGCTGCGCACCACTTTTCTGAATTTTTTCGATAATCACGTACCAGAATTGAGTCATCTACTTTGAATAATATATTTCTTTTGCTGTGGTAATATTTTTGTTGGTAGTTCTGTTTTTCTCTCACAGTATTTTTCGTTGACGGCAGAAGTAAATCGAATTTGGTGCGTAAAGTACGTCCAAACAACAATTTTGCTGGAGTTTCGGATGTGGTGGAATGTGGGGTGTTACGATATTGGAACAAAAATCGATTCAAAATCAAATTAATGTCCCCACCGGAATTTTCCAATTTTGCTTTAGTTATAGCTGTTTTTAAAATTTTAACGGCGTTTTCCGCCTGCCCGTTTGTGGCTGGGTGGTATGGTGCGCCTGTTGTATGTTCAACACCGCTACATGATAAAAAATATTGAAACTCATGACAAGTGAATGATGTACCATTGTCCGTGCATAGCTCTACGGGTAATCCGAATCTTGCGAAAAGCTCCCGAAAAACTTTGATTGTACTGGATGCCGTAATGTTCGCCATTTCAAAGCACTCAAGCCATTTAGATGTCGCGTCTTCTATCACTAAAAAAAATTTGTTATAGCATGGACCGAAAAAATCCGCATGCAGCCTAGTCCAGGGAATTTCTGGCCATTCCCATACTACTAGAGAAGCTTTGGAAGGGTTTCTAGATGTAATGCTGCATATTTTACAAGTTTGAGCAATTTTTTCTATTTGGCTGTTTATTGACGGCCACCAGACATACGCACGTGCCAACAGTTTCATTTTAACCATGCCCATGTGGGCGCTATGCAATTCATTCAAAATGTTTTGTTGAAATTTTCCTGGAATAATTAACCTATATCCCCACATGAGACACTCATGTTCCACAGTGAGTTCATTTTTTCTCATAAAAAATGGTTTGAATTCATCGGAAGGGCTATTGTTTGGCCACCCATTCCGAACATAGAAAAGAATTTTGCTTAAGATTGGATCTACCATAGTTTCTTTCTTTACTTGTTTGAAATCAATAGGCAAGTCTGATTGCTTTACATAATTAATGTACGTTAATTCTCCTGATTGAATACTGAACACATTATTTGACGGCAATGGTAATCTTGACAAACAATCAGCCGAGTTGTTACTCGAATTTACATATTTAATATCATAATTGAAAGCCGACAATATGTGCGCCCAACGCTGCAACCGATTTGCCGCAAAAACTGGCAAACCTTTTTTACTCCCGAAAATGCTTAACAAAGGTTTGTGATCCGTATATAGTAAAAATTTTTGGCCGTATAAATATTGAAAGAATTTTTTCACTCCGAATATTATAGCAGCTGCCTCCTTTTCAATTTGAGAATATTTAATTTCAGCTGAATTTAATAGACGTGAGGCAAATGCTATTGGTCTTTCAGTATTATTATGCAATATATGGCTGATAGATGCCCCTAAAGCATACTGAGATGCATCTACTGTCAATTTAATTTTCATTTTAGGATCAAAATGGATCAAAATGGAATTTGATAATAATAATTTTTTTGCATTTTCAAAAGATTCGATGCATTTTGATGACCAGAACCATTTTGTGTCTTTTTTCAGTAGACTATAGAGGGGCTGCAATACCTCTGAACAGTTTGGTAAAAATTTGCAATAAAAATTTATCATACCTAGAAAGGATTTTAATTGAGTAACATTTTCTGGTGCCGGTACATTTTTTATTGCTAAAATGCGTTCTTCGGATGTATGCAACCCTTCTTCATCTATTATGTGCCCTAAATACTGAACTGATTTTTGGAAAAATGCACATTTTTCTTTTTTCACTTTTAGGCCGCACTCGTGCAGACGTCGGAGAACATATTCCAGGCGCACCATATGATCTTGCTTATTTTTGCCTGTTATTAGGATATCATCTAAAAAACAGGTGACACCCGGTATAACAAACATTTGCTCCATTATATTCTGAAAAATTGATGGTGCACTAGTGATGCCGTAAGGCAAACGGGTGTACGAAAATAAGCCCTTGTGAGTTGAGATTGTCACTAATTTTCTGGATTCTTCTGACAGCAAAATTTGCTGATAAGCTTCTGACAAATCAATTTTTGAGAATCTTGTTCCACCTTGTAGTTGGGTAAATAAATACTCTATCCGGGGTAAAGGGAAATGTTGAATTTCTAATTGTGGATTGAGAGTGATTTTGAAATCCCCACAAATTCGAATGCTTCCGTTTTGTTTCAATATCGGAACGATCGGAGTTGCCCACTCCGAAAACTCTACAGGAACCAGTACTTTATTGTCTACTAATCTTTGTAATTCTTCCTCAATTTTTGGTTTTAAAGAGAACGGAACAGGTCTCGGTTTGTAAAATTTAGGCACTGCCCCTTCTTTCAATTTTAAGGATACCTCAAATTTATTGAACGTACCGAGCTTGCTATCGAACACATCAGGGTATCTACCAATTAGTTCTGAAATATTGTCAGAAGAATCTACCTGATTTCGTAATAACCTATTCGTGTTATAATTTATCTTACATATTCCAAAATTGAGCATTGTCATAGCATTTCTACCTATTAAAGGGGGGCCTCCGTTTTTAATGACATATGTTTTCAGAATGAAATGTTGATTTTCAAATAGAATATTCAAATTCAAATAACCCAACGGTTGGAAAGTGAACCCTACATAATCACGCAGAGTTAAATCATTTTCTAATAAACTTTTGTTGTGGAAATGTTTTCTGTATAACTTTTCTGAAATGGCTGAATGCGCAAACCCGGAATCAATCTCAAAACTTAATGGTACTTTTTCAACTGTCAGGTTAATGAATGTAGGTTTAACATTATTATAATCACTATTTTCAATATTATTTATTACATTGAGCTCATGCAACCCTGATCCTGTCGCTTGGGAGGATTCATTCTCATTTGAAAAGAAAAAGATCGAATCTTCGTAATCCTCTTCGTGATCTGGTTCACTTGACAAAAAATTGTGCCTGGCCCTACTATTGCACTGCGGAGCCAGATGTCCTTTGATACCACACTTATGGCAAGTACAATTTTTGTATGCACACTCGTAAGATGAATGATTGAACCGCCCACATACTGAACACTTACTTGAGCTGGGTTTTGGAGATTTCTGGTTGCTTACCCCCTGGTTCCGATTCAGCCTCTTTTCAAGGTTGAGATGTCTGGATACTTCACCTTGGTGTGATGTAGTATTGGTCCATGGCCTTCCTATTTCCTGATTTTGTTGGTGCTTTTTCGGCATACCTTGTTGACTATGGAAATTCATGTCGGATTCAGTTTTAATTCCATGAGATCCTATACCATAATTTTCTCTGAGAGAGGAATGTTCCTTAACTGCAGACTCTTTAGCTAAAGCTACTTTCACCATCGTTTGTAAAGTTACTGTTGGACTGGAGGCGTCCTCCTCAAAGAGTCTGTCGATGAATCTTTCCTCATTGATTCCAATAACAAACAAATCTCTCATCACGACGTGAAGTTCGGTCCCGAAGCCACAATTTGATGCTAAATTCTTTACTCGGGCCTCCCATTCCGACACGCTTTCGTTGAGCCCCCGTCGTGCTGAGTAAAATTTCAACCGCTCTGAAAAGTAGGACTTCACCGGTGAAAAATGCCCGGTTAATATGTTTATCAGCTCCTCATACGTTTTTGTATCTGGTAAGTTCGGCACACACAAACTCCTCACTAACACGTAGCAATCTTCTGATAATGTGTTCAGAAGAATAGCTTTTTTCCGACTTCCGTCTTCAATCCGGTTGGCAATGAAGAATTGCTTAAGTCGCTCAATGAAAACTATGAAAGTATTGAAAAGGAATATTCTCAGATATATTATAAACATGAAAAAATGGATACATTTGAATAAATACATTGAGAATTCGCATTCTCTATGTGATGAAATTATTAATCCTTTCTCGGCATATTCAACAGAAAACAACTACTTTCCTGGCTATATGCCACGACGAACATTGAATTATATCAATTGAACATACACGATAAGAATTTGAGCATAAAATGAATATCGTCTGAAATTGAGAATTGACATTCTCTTCCAGAATTTCTTTCCACGCCCTGTATGATAAATGTCAGTTTGTCATACATCTAAAACGAAAACTATGAAATCTGAAGTTTTCGGATCGAATACTGTTAACGAGCCTAAGGTGCCCAAAACCGCCGTTTCCGTCATGATTCACAATTTTGTTAGCACTATCCAGGCACTCCCGCGAAGATTACACGATTCCTCGTCGCCAATTGTTAAGTACTCGAATTATGAATTTGCATAATACGGGATACTAAAACACGAACATAAATATATGCGTATTTATTCAAGTGTCGAATACAACTGACTTCGCGAACACCGTCGCCAATAGATAAACAAAGCTTATAAAAAAGTGTAGTTTTTGCTATCCTCGACTATGGTCTCTTTTAATAGGAAATTCCATAAACATAAATAGCTATATACATGACAGTGCACAAATATTTTGGGGTCTGCTTTTGAAATATGACTGGCTTATTTCGGGTATATGATTTGAAAATTGGCAAAGTTATGCAAAAGACGTGGATGTAACAAAATTTTCAAATCGATTCCACTCGAAAATGATACATCTAATCAATACGGAACAAGGGCACCATTTTCTCTGAAAAATGGTGTGGATTTTCATAATCCGAGATCAAATTGTCGAAAAAAGAAGCATACAAAAAGTTTGAGCAATATTTAATGTAGTCCCACCATATATTGAACCACTCCCCGAATTAAATTTTAGAATGCATTTTCACTGCATTGGGCATTGCAAGTTTAATTTTTGTACCGGATTGCATCATTTTATCACATGGCGTTTCGGAAATATTCAGGAAATATCATCTTCAGGAGCCCCTCTAAGGAGGTCGTATTTTTCGACTTATGTTTATTGGAACATTTCTTCCTATTTTTGGTCGAAGAATCTGCTACTGAAGTATGGCAGGCTAATTTCGAGACAAATAACTGCATAACTGTACCAAATTTCAGAAAAATCAGATTACGAATGCAGAAGTGACGTGGGTGGCCCGATACCCTGTGTTACCCGGTATGTAGTTCATTTAGATGTTTTATTTCACTTGATCATACCCATGTTTAATTTCCCATTCCATTACAACCATGTCATACCTATATACCGGGGCGCCCCGATGAATAGACACGGCCATCTGACAATCAAAAGTTGATAATAATTTATCAAAACACAAGTAATTCCTCAATAAATAACTTTCAGGGATGTTGAAAGGCAGAAAAGTAGCTAGTACCCGAAAACAAGTCCTACTGAAAAACGAACATCCCATCTCTGATCTGGTCATGCAATGGCGCAAACTCAGCACAACGCTCACCAAGACAATCTATCCTCTCATAAGGATAACAAAAGAAGCTAAAATTCATGGTTGCTATATCACCCATACTGCTACTGGACGGATCACCATGCATGAACCCAATCTACAGAACATAGCCAAAGATTTCAATGTTACTAATCCGTTAACAAACAAATGTGTGAATATTAGCTGTCGTAGTGCATTCCTAGTTCCTGCTGGATTCTGTTTGTTATCTGCCGATTATTGTCAATTAGAATTAAGGCTATTGACACATCTATCACGTGACAGGATGTTGTGTGACATAATGAATAGACCTGGAGATGTTTTCAAGTCTATCGCTGCTCAATGGAATCATGTGGAAGAAGAAAAGGTATCACATATATTATTTTCCATTATACTATAACAAAAATTATCCTGAAGCTTTCAAAAATGCATGTATGCACTGTTGGCTACTACATAAATGCAAAGTAAAAATGGAGTCAAATTGCTAGTTTTTGATCAAATGCAAAAATATAGCTAATTATGAACTCTTCTAGATTTGGACCAATCACCTGAATTATGCCAATTCCTTTAAAACAATAAATTAGTTATTTATACACCAAGGTATAGTTAAGAATAATATCATTTGTACCCAGGGACCAAGAATATATACTATTATAAATTATAATAAGGTCCCGTGGTGATAATATTCTTTACTACCAAGGTATATATTAAATGTTTTTCACCACTAGCAGTATATTTGAATAATTATAGTTCAGTGTAACTGGAATATGGACCTATTGACTCTATTAACGCACGTTTTTTCAATTTTTATTAAAATATAGTAGCTATGATCATCAAAGCATATATATTCGAGTTCCATTCCTGTGAATCTCGCATCAGAACATTGAATTCTGGTCAATTATAACAGAGATTGGTATGTCTTTATTGACTAGTAGTTCATAAAATGACTAGGTAGGTTCTAAGGCTAGTGGTGGAAAAAATAGTTTGTATTTTTTTTCATTTAAGCTCGTTCATTCCATCAAAAATTCAATAATTATTTCTTGGTTAGGTACCTAGAATATATTTGTTATTTCTAGGTGGATGACTCTATGAGACAAAGAGTGAAACATATATGTTATGGAATTATCTATGGGATGGGCAGCAGAACTTTAGCAGACCAACTAAATATAGATGAAAATGAGGCTTCACAATTCATAACAACATTCAAAGATACTTATCCAGGATTAAAAACCTTCATTAAAGATACTGTAGAGAAGTGCAGAATAAACAGCTATGTTCAAACGATTACTGGAAGAAAAAGATTTTTACCCAATATCAACGACGCCAATGCCGTGAAGAAAGGTAATATTATACAGGGTTTCTATACATCACCGTAGCATCGTAGTTGCCGTTGAGATATTTTTTTCCATTTGGCGCTCTTTGATTATGTTATTAAAAAAATTGTAGCGACAGAATGTGATATAGTTAGATCTCCATAAGTAGAAGGCGGCAAATCAAAAAATATTTCAGGCTGATACGATCATTCTCAATGCACAAAAAACTGAAATCTTATTATTTGTGAAAGAGAACGGGGAAGGATCAGTTGGTAAGACAATTATATTCAGCTTTATTTACTTGGTTTGTACTTCCTGTCTGTGTTGGTTGTGTCAATATTTAATAACGAAGAATAAAACGCACATTTTTGAATCCTTATCAATTTTTTGGGCACATAGAACACTGTGTGGAATTTTCTGAACATTTTCAAGCAAGAAACGTTTTCTCGTGAAAATCCGCTAAACAAGCCATTTTCGAGATATTTATTCCGTTTTTAATGATCGATGCCGCATTGGAATATATGTTATTACTTAGTATTAGAAGTATTATATTACCAAGTCTCTCCTTTCGGAGACTTTCTTACATGCTTACCAACAGCTTATACTTGATAGAACGTTGCCAGGTTCTTAAATTTTTTTTCGGCCTAATTCAAAGTGTTAAAAAAAAGTGTTTAAAAGTGTTTTTAACCGCCAGCTTAGTTGCAAAGCAACCCTCGAAAGTCAGAGACTTGTGTGAGTTAAGTTAAGTCCTGTCTATTGTCTATTGAAACAATTTCAGGCGTTTCCAGTCTCGTGAAATTTCGCTCTATTTGGCCATAATGTTATATAGGATATTCAAAAATTTTGCCCTGACCACATATTTATCGGATATATCAATTAACAGATAAAATAACCAATAATGAAGATGTAATTTCAATGCCTGTGAAACCAAACGCTACTGAGCTGTAACGTCAGTGTAGCATTGCAGCCTGATTGGTTGAAGTTTGTAAGTGCTGGAAAGCACGCTGCTGTTGCTAGGTCTAGCTGTGAAATCCCTGAAGTGAACCATAAGTCATGGATCAAATGACGTGGGGTGGTAGGGGGGTCATTTCCGATCAAACTAACAGTACATGTTATACAATTATTGATGGTTCAAAAGTTAATAATTTTATCACTTATATAAAAAAATTAATTACAATAATACTTTCTCATTTGTAATTTTTACGAATCTCATCCGCATGGATGCAAATGGTTAAACATATGGGGTTATTCAAAACAGCCTTTTTGTTATAAATTTTTATCAAATGGATCGCGTTTTGAAATTGAATAACTTTTGAACCATCAACAATTTGATAACCACATATACCCATAGTGGAAGGAGAAGATGGTGTGCTCAACAGAAAGCTCCAACTCGTCTTGTTCTGCACATGACGTCAGCTGGGATATAATTGTCATTGTTATTATTTGTTTTCTTGATTGATGTCTCGAACTTCAGATATTATATAAGTACTAAAATTGAATGAAATAATTTCGAAATGCCTACTTGTTTCGTTTCTGGTTATGGAAATTCCAACTAACATACAAAAGGCACAGATATTGAATTTTTCTGCTTTTCCAAGAATGGACACCTAATGAAAAAATGGGAGCTTGCTGCCGACAGAATATAAACTCAAATTATGGTACCTACTTTTTATCCTCATTCCAAAATATTCACCTATCATACTATCATCACATTCATATTACAGTCCGTATTTCTTCAAAACATTTCCATGCAAAATGTTCCCAAACAAGTGCGAAAGTACGGTTCTTGAATTACACACTTCCAAAAAATCACAAATATTTGAAACAAGATGCCATTCCTACAGAACATCTTCCGAATATCAAGTCAAAGATAATTGAAAATGAATTCAAAACTCTTAATTTCTCACAGAATATAAATTGCAGCAAAGATTTGAATAACAAACCGGCAAAAATTGATACTCCTGTTGTCGATTTCAGATTTCAAAATAATGTAATATCTTCTCAATATTGATTCGTCCTTTCTTCTGTCACAGAAAAAAATTGTGTATTATACACGGGAAAAATATTAGATTTTAGCTCACGGTTTGTTGTCTCCCTCCGCTACGCGTCGGGAGACAACACAACCTGGAGCTAAAATCTACTACTTTTTTCCCTTGTATAATAAATAACTATATTGATTCGTTCACTCATTGTTAAAATCAACAAAATATTCCGTGTTACCATAATAATAAGTCGAGTAAGAAAGTAGGTAATCATTCCCGGAATATTCAATTGCTATAGTGGCAACCAATAGAAATAGATGAAGTAACTGGCACTAACACAAAGTTTTCAAGTTAAAATACCTCAATCTTCGCATAACTACCCTATGACAAGAAGGCAGTGATTCATGTACTGAAATCAATATGGAATAGAACCAAGTAAGCAATTCAGCATCAACTGATTGAATTGTTCTTCTCCTTATGGTTAGGTAGATATAAAGTAAATGCCAATGTGAGTCCCTTAATCTAAATGAAATACTTCAGTATCATGAATGTTCAAGTAGAAAAATATTAATTAGGTTGCCTAACATCAGTATTATTGTACTGAAATCATAGAGAAGTAATAATGCCTAATGATACCCAAAGTAAGGGTATTACGAATCAAAATTGCTCGCGCACTGACATCACACGTTTCTATTTTATCCTAGGTCTGACGAAAAACCAAAATTCAAGTTTTTCATACCATGTTTAAATTCAATAATAAATTTGGAAATTGTATTCAAGTGACTTACCATCAATATTTCAACTTTTTCACTATTGTCATTCTCAATATCCCCTGATAGACATCCACTTCTTGGACACATACATCAGCCAACAATTTTCAATAATACAAATTAAAAATTGAATACATGTCAACTCAAAGTTATTAATTTCTAGGTCAAGCTGAGAGACAAGCTGTCAATACTGTGGTGCAGGGTTCGGCAGCTGATATTGCAAAAAAGGCCATGGTGAAAATAGATAATGCAATGCAGGAATGTTTCGTCAATACAAAAAGTAAGCCTGAACCAGTACTTCATTTACATGACGAAATTATTTACCAAGTTCCTGTGAAGTATTTGAGAAAATCTGCTATTATCGTAAAAGAAAATATGGAGAATGTTATGAAACTCTCTATACCGTTACCTGTGAAAATCAGAACAGGAGAATCCTGGGGATCAATGTCTGAAATGAGAATTTGAATATGTGATATTTTCAGTTTTTTTTTGCAGTGGTGGAAGGGCGATCAGATTAACCCTTTTTAACCACTGAACCAATCATTGAAATACCTTTAATGTAATTTTCCTCATTTGAATTGTTTTCTGATTTTATAGCTGAATTATATTCATTTCACTAACATATCGGGTAGTTCTTAAAGGTGGCTCACACCTATATCTTTTATTATTGAAGGTAGTAATTGAGTTTTGTGAATTAATAGTTCGGTTGACATTTTTCCATTTTCCATATGCTCAATGGGTGTGACGGTGCAATGTCGACACTTCTTTATGTGTCACAGTTATTGAGCATATGGAAATTTCGAATGTAAATATTTTCGTAATCGTTTGAAATAACCCTATTAAACCCGGTATCGTTGAATTCGATATAATAATCCCTAACCGATTATGGAATGAATAATACGTTGTCCCATTTGAAGTTTGGGTAATTTCCGGTCAAACCGGAAGTACGGCAAAGCAAGTAGATATGTCAATTGTACTATAATTCACAACTCCCAAATTTCGTTTTACTACCTTCAATAATAAAAAAATTATAGGCGCTGACGGGTGACCCACCTTGGAGAATCTCCTGGTATACAGTGGGACCAAGATAAGGTGCCGTGCAATGTGGATCTCGGAAACGGGAGGAGATACGAATTCGGTTAAATGGAAAAAAAGTTGCGCATTCAGTCATCAAAAAATTTCTAAATTGTTTTTAGTTTTTCATTTACATGAGAAAAAGTGAAATTTTGAAAAATCTATTTTATTTTCTTTCTGTTATTATTAGAGCTACAGAAAAACTGAAAATACTTTTACACTGCAACTTTTGATGTGATTTAACGCGACGTTTCGTATTCGTAGAACTTTCAACTTTTTTTTTAATCTGGTCCTGATTATGTGTTCGCAGATTCTGAAAGCTTCTTTATTCTGAATTCAACTATTGTATTATACAGGGTGGATTGCATGTGTTTCGACCTTGTTTTAGCCATCATCAATGTTTTTTTGGAATTCCAAAGAGGAAATACCATCAGTTCCACTTATTTCTGATCATTCGGTATTAAACATTGATGTACCTAGTTATTTAATACTGAGAAGAAACGTATATCACAAAATTATTCAATACTACTTACAGGAATCAAATTGATAACTAATAACATTCATAAATTTTTTTTCAAAAATATAACCTTCATTTTCTAAACAAAGATATCCTCTTCTTAGAGTTGCTTCTAAGACTTTTCTAAGCATTTCCGGGGTAATATACTATTGAATAATGCTTCGATAACACTTGTCCCTTGGTTCTTCTTCATTATTAAAATCATTTGCGTAAACAAAGTTTTTAACGTATCCCTAAAGAAAGAAATCCAGCGGACTTCAATCAGGCGATCGCGACGGCCAAGGCACTGTAGAATAAGTTTAGTTATCAAAGTTATTGGTGTAAGAATCCATGAACAATAACCACTGTATGAATGTTTGACACTGAATGATCAGAAATAAGTGGAACTGATGGTATTTCTTTGAAATTTTGAAAAAACATTGAAGATGGCTAAAACTAGATCAAAACACATTCAAACCACTTTGGGTAAAACATGGTTGAATTCAGAATAGAAAAAGCTATCAGAATCTTCATGATGGTTCTTCGAATAGGAAACGTCGCGCAGAGAAATCAATACCACCACGTTAAGTCTCATCAAAAGTTTTCAGTATCTTCAGACTTCCAGTATCTCTAATAATAACGTAGAAAAAACTGTGAAACTAAAAACAATGTTGAAAATTTTCGAAGGGCGTTGGTATGCCCTTCTGAAAACACAACATTTTTTTCATTTAACTGAGTTTGTATCTCCTTCCTTTTCCGCATGCCGTGCAACCTTATCTTGGTCACACTATATATTATCTAGACCTCCAGCGTCATAAAAGTTTATTACTTACAGGGTGGCCATTTGATTTAATTTTGAAGGTATTTTCACCTAGCTTATAACCCCCGAGTTTTACATCGCTACTATCTATGTAGCCACTACAGTGGCTCACCAAAAGTACAAAACCGACCGAAAATAATTTTTACTTATTTAGAAAAAGGAGTTTTTTGTAACAACAAGGGCTAACATTGTCAGTCTCACCAGTTGGCATTACCAGAGCGTGAGGCCTATCTCAAAGTCAGAAGTTTCAAAATTTTGCCATATAGTTAAAAATACCTGCAAAATGAAACATCATTCGACCCCTCTTTTCATTTAAAATTTAAAGGGTGAGACCCGGAATCAATTAACCACCCTGTATCTTCGTTGCTATTTTGAAAAGATTCATTAGATTTCTCTAGTATCAGACCAAATATAACATTTCTGGTTTGACCGGAAGTTCATAATTTTTTTTATTTCAAATACAATGTGTATTTTTTTTCTAGATATTACAATTTACTATAGAATTACCTTTCCAATGATATATCACAATCCTACTCTCAATCCACAATCTACTCATATAATTGCAATTTTATAAATACTTCATTTTGTATTCCTCTAGTAACTTGTAAGAAAATTATTGAATTGAACATTTTGTTGCGTCAGATTTTGCAGTTTCAATAATTCTAGACCCATAGAGAAAAATCAATATCATAGCCAACTAATATGAAGTTGAGAGGTTCAATACAAATGTGGGTAGGTAGAGCATGGATATTATCTTCAGTAGAAAAATTATTTTATTGGTGTTGAGAAATAAAGAAAAACTAAAATTGTAAAAATATCAGTTAGTTCAGATTGAAAGAATATTACTATTCACATGATATTGGTTCATTATCCATAGCACACTTTCATGAAAATATTCCCTTATGAAGGGAATATATTGTGAATAGATTGTGAATTGAAAGTAGGATTGTGATATGACATGAAATCAAATCGATATACTAATTTTGAAACATCTTTTCAAAATAGCAACGAAGATACAGGGGCGTAAATTGGTTCCGAGTCACCCGGTATGGAGGTCTGGATAGTATATCTGCCAGTGGTTCCACTAATTTCAATCACAGAGGAATATTTTTCTCAGTAACTAAATTGAGTGGAACATATAAACAATTCATATTGAATTTATTCCAACAGTCCACATTGAATTTATAATACTTATTAATATTTTACAATTATTTATTTATATTTTTATGTATGTAAAATTGTCAGTCTTGTAATTATTTCAGTTTTGAATGACTCAACACTGTTAATAAAATGTTATTAAACCATGATTTTTTCTTGATATTGTAGGGTCACTGTTGAATGTTCATGATCAAGTTGAATTAAATGATAATTCATTAAATAGCAATGGGCGAGTGGACTGTTTGTCTCTATACAGTGTGTCCCACTTACCATGCTCACCATGGGTATCTTTTTAACGGTGAGAGATACGAGGTCGGTTAAATGACACCAAATGTGGAGTTTGTCAAGGCCAACTATAATGTGAAGAAATATTTTGATAAAATCTATTCGTTTTTGTTTTATACGCAAAAAACAGATTTTGATCATTTTCATGTCTCATCCATAACTTCTTTATTTATGAAAATATTCGAATAGGAATTTCACATTCTCATGGCAGTTTTTCAAAGTGATTTCGAAAAAAATATGAAATGTATACCAACTCTTCTAGAATTTGAGATATCAGCACCAACTTTAGTTTTTCAAATGTAGGTCATAGCTCACTATGACTTAGTTACAAATAACTTTTTTTTCTCTTACAGATGATATGTCGCAGTAATAGTTTTGTGTTGATAACAACGGAGTTATCGTCATTTATACAAAAACAAAAAATTATTCGGAAGCCGTCATCTTGAATTTATGAATTTTAACAGGAAATTCATGATCTCCGACCTCAAAAACCCCCACTTACCAATTTTGAATGGAATCGGACCAAATCTTGTCCGCCATCTTGGGGCAGCCATTTTTTTTTAATTCAACAAAAATTCCATAAATCCGATTACCTTGAAATTCGGCGAGTGTACATAATTTCGGTGAAAATACATTCACCAAAACTGCCATGAGAATGTGAAATTCCTATTTGAATATCTTCATAAATAAAGAAGTTATGGAGGAGACATGAAAATGATCAAAATCTGTTTTTTGCGGATAAAACAAAAACGAATAGATTTTATCAAAATATTTTTTCACATTATAGTTGGCCTTGACAAACTCCACATTTGGTGTCATTTAACCGACCTCGTATCTCTCACCGTTAAAAAGATACCCATGGTGAGCATGGTAAGTGGGACACACTGTATATACAGGGTGGAAACGTATCATGAAATAGGAATAAAATCCTGGAAGTCCTTTTTTCATTTTTGAAAATCTATTTTCACTCAAACATTTTCAACAACCTGTCAACCTCCTGCCAAACAGATCAACCCATTCAAAATTTTTGAATTGTACAGGGTTATCCACCAAAAAGGTCCACCCCCATATTTACGTTACTTTTTTATATAAAAAAATAATATGCGGGAGTTGAATGCCGCAATGAGGCCTTTCCATAGCCGTTATCAGAAGGTTTACAGGGTGATACCTAAAAGCGTGACAAATATGTTGAAAGCAAAATTTAATTTATTTCATCCAACTTTCATATACACCCCTTTTACTTATCTTGAGAAAAAAGATTTTAGCAGGCAATCAATTTCAAAAGACACACCCTGTACGTCAATGGACGCTTTTGCAGGCGCAAAGTAGTCTTGAGAATTTTCTTCCACAATGTAATCATTAATTAAATAAAATGTGAATAAATTTATAAAATATTTCATTGGGTACTACTGTCCTCCATAACAGTTACTCCATTGGTGGTGGAAGACACCTCATCATGATGGTTGGTGACGCTAGGAGGAGCAGCAACAACTACATCTTCTTGCAGATATTGGTACTGCTGCTGTAATGCTTTGATATGATCTTGTAAGTCGGCATATTTCTTTTGCAAAACTTTCTCTCTTTCCATTTGTCTGGTAACGTCCTCCGTGAGAGACTAAAAATAACAAGGTATTATTGATCAAGAAAGAAGTCTTCTCCAGGAATATTTTTATTTGCGAAAATGCAGGTAATCCTGCTTCAAAAGGGTTGAATTTGAGACAGGATTCGACGATTCAAATGGCCATCATCAGTCATAGTGTACAAAGCAATTGTGGGTCTGGCTCCATCATGGAGATGAAAAACAAAAAGCCAATCAATCCTGAGTTTCAATAGTTTTCTCTTCACCTGGACAGTTCTTTTTGCCTCCAAATGTTGCCTTAATAACCATTCCGTTAACCGTATCCCCAAATGAGGACAGCCTATGATGTGTTTTTTAACAGCTACGGTTTTTCAAATTCATTTCAAATAAACATTTTTCGAATTTTTACATGTAATTCGATACTTTTAAAAAATGGCGGAAGTTTTGAACCGTCTAGCTCTTACTTTACGTAAAGTAAAACATTACATAACTGGTGATGTTAATTTGATTTCAACACTAGTTACGTAATAAAAATATGGATGTATGAAGAGAATAGTACATCTTGTGCTGCTTCGTCCATATCACTTGGGAAATCTGTACGTGCAGCAGCCATTTTCTAGTAATGAAGACATCAAACGACACCGTTTCTTGAATTGCTGAATTTTGACCATATTATTCTTTGACAAATACTTCATAGTCGAAGTCAACTTGCCTACTTAATTTATTCCTTATTCGGTATAACTCTGTTGAACTGGTCATTATATCTGTTTGATCAGGTTTTCAACAAAATTAGAAAAAATATTGTGAGGAAAAGCATGTTGTGCAACTCTGTGTTATGTGGGATCTCGCTTCGCTTGTCCCGCAAAATCCCGTCGTGTCACAAAATGACGTGTTTCCTGACTGGTTACGTAAATATCTATTCTATGACAATGCGTCAATGCTTGGCGTGTTCGATTACTGATATTGTATCCAACGTTTTGTGTATAATGTGGTTCATTGTTCCTTTCTTTAGTGTGAAATAATTTTTCGTTGACATTATGAGTCAACAACAAAAGTAACTGATATTTCTTCTTCTTTCTTCTAACGATTAATTGGGTGAAAAATCCAACAACAGGAAATTGAATACACTCACTGGCTAATTTTTTAGGTAATAGGAATTCTCCAAGATAAATATAGGTAATTACAACAAACGGCATGTCTATCAAAATAAAATACATTTTCCTCAATTTTCTTTCGATCAATCCCACGATAAGTTTATATTCTGCGGGCCCCGTATAAGTAGGTGTGAAGGTTACCTTCACCACAATTATTGCCAATATATTCAATTCAAATGGGTTGCTGTAGGTGGGTATTTGTATTTTATTCTGGTTTTTGTTTTGAAACTTCGTTTTTCCATAATAAAATCGAATGGGATGCGAAGAAGGGCTCAGTTGACGACTGGCATCCTTCTTTAACCGGAAGCCCTTCAAAAAAACAGCAAAATTGGCTCAATAATGATCTAAAACTAAAATTGGATTACGCGGTAGCCTTATAGCGCCATATAAGCTCTTGTCGTTTCGAGCCGCTGGTTAGGCCTCACTCAGGTGACGTCACCACGGAGCATGCAGACCTTATTGTCTCGATGGTAACGGTGGAACTCAAAAAAAACATTATAGGGATTCTCTTTCGTGCGCACCAAGCAAAATTGAACTTGCAATAAACAAGGCATTATGGAAGCAAGGCAAATTAAGCATGTTACATGAGAAACATCCAGTTTTCCATTGAAACTGATTTCTTGAGTATGTCAAGCATACTGGTTAATAATTCGTTTTTATAAGCGAATATCTGATAAAATCAGAAGTACAACTCTTATAAGACATAACCACAAAAAATCAGGAAAGGAAACAATTCAATTGCGCTGGTCGTATTATTCTATTGATTAAATATATGGTGCCAACGAGGTGCCATATTTTGATTCTAACCTAACTTAGATCGTCTAATTCCTTGAATTTTTAGACAGGGTATTGTATTGTTCCCTAACAAAAAATTCTGAATGATGACTTAACTGACATAAAGAATTATGTTTGTGCTCATTCTTCAACTCACGTCATTTCACATCTTGGGTAAGGCAATGAAATCAATTTCGAAAACTGTATTACCTGTACTCTCCTGGGTAAAGCACTATTTTCTTGTTCTTGCAAGAATCTGAAGGTATTGAGTTCCAGATTAGCCTGATCGATGTTCTCGTAAGAATCTTGCAACTGCTTCATCAGGGCCTGCGCTCTAGACTGATAACCGCCCGTCAGAATTTTCAATTTCTTCTCCATCTTGCTCGCCTTTTTAGCCTCTTTCGCCATGTGAGAACGATTCTGCTCAAGCCTTTTCTCCGCTGATTCCAGCCGATCCTTCTTGCTGGCCAGATTGGCGCGAGTGTATCGAGTCTGATTGGGCAGGTAGAGCACCTGACCGAGACATTCCTCCCACACTTGGGTGTAGGCCTCGATCGGCAGTTCTCCGTGACTCATTCCCGCTTTGACCACCTCCATCTCTCTTTTCAACATCATTCTGGCCACTTCCAAATCGTCACCTGTATGAGTTGACGACTTAGAGTTTTCTTATTCATCGTAATTATAGATTTAACTGAACTAAAGATTCAAACAACTGAGAACTTGAAAAGTTGAATAGATGGAAACATCTATCAGGGTTTATATACAGGGTGTTTCATAATATGTGGAACGCACTTCCAGAGGTGATAGGGCGTCTGGAGAAAATGAAAAAAGTTCCTATGAACAATGACGCGTTGAAGTTGCAAGTATTTATAGAATGTTCTTATGTCCAACAGCATTTCCCTCTATTTTTACAAATTTACCAAGTTATCTTTCTTAATACATCACCAAGAACAAATCCTGATGAAAGACGTCAGAAATGTTTATATGTTCAAAATAAAAATATAGTTGATTTTGAAAAATCCGACTTTATTCTCAATTACCAGCAGGTAGTTGGAGAATATGCAGAAAAATTGAAAATTGATAGTTGTTGGTATAAGACAGGAAGCAAAATTATTTTTTATCAATTAGGTTCACAGTCAGCTGTATTGAAAAAATAACTTCCCAAGTTATAGTATTGAATGAGATGCAGTTCAAAGTTTTACTAGGTGATAATAAGTTGGGATTCAATGATTCAAAATGGAATGTTCCCTATGATATGGAATTGAGAAGGTGGTCACAACTTCAGAATATTCTAGCAAGATACAGGAACAGCTCAGATCACATAGAAGAATAGTCAAATTAGCTCATTCGATGCATCCATAGACAAAAAGTTTTATATATCTGAAAGAACCCTCATATAGTATCTTGTGAAGATACCTCACCTCATTCTAAAAATCTTGAAATTTTGATTGATCAATTGAAACTACACATCGAAAAAAAATCTTCCACAATAATAAAATTATGTCTTATGTTGTACAAAACTTATCATTCTGTGCATGAACTCATTAGGAATTTTCACATTTAACCTAACAAACGATACTTGCAACAACTATCTTCCAACTTGAATATTTCTCCAAGCAATAACTTAAATGGTTGATGTAAAATGGCACTTGCCAGTTGTTTATTTTATTCAAGAAAATGAATAAAAGCTTAACTGTGGCCCATTATTTCTTGCTATTTTTTTTTATTAAAATTCAATTATTTATTTCAAAGACAGAAAATGATGTTACGTACCAGTGTTTGCCGTCGCCATGAAAGCCAGTCGAGAGTGAACATCCCGGATCACGGCGATGCGGTGTTGCATTTCTCTCATCGCGGCTTATTACAGAGCCGGCTGTGGTTATTCTGTTTTTTTTTTTTTTTTTTTTTTTTTCGAAAACAGTGTACAGTCATCTTCAGAGAACATGTCGCACATGGACGGTGTAGCTCTGTTAATTGCCGCTGCAATAAGAGCGCTCATACCGTCCAACCGCGACATGTCCAGTGAAGACGAGTGCACCTTAACCAGAACGGTTGGTGCTTTTTCTACAACATAGCATATTTTCGAATAAAATTTCGAAGTTTCATCGACACCCATGTTTTTGATGAAAAATCACACATCAATACCCCTTAATGGTGCTACTGGGTGTCAGATCGACAATCACTCTAAGATACTTAGGGATTCACCAGAATATCAAGAATTTTTGTTTTCAACTTCAACACCCTGCATCTCTCAACGGAAGACTTCTAGGACCTATGTTTATGGGAACTTTTTTCATTTTCTTGAGACGCTCAATTACCTCTGGTAGGATGCCTGGTGACTAAAAATCTTCAAATTAGATGTCACTGACTAGGTTGGAGGCCATATTAGCGGTTAATTTTTGTTTGCCTATTCACAGTGACGAAACTTGTTCAATAGCGTATCAATAACCATTATTAAAATGTACTATGCATTTGTGTTCCTCAAGAACGTCTGGATTAGGTAAAAAATACAGGTGAGTCCTAACCTAACCTAACCTAACCTCACTTTATATTTCTATAGTTACGACCTTAAGCAGCCCCGTCACGCGGAAGCAATAGACCTCCATGCCTCTTCCATTACGTACATACACAAAATAAAGCTGTTGAATATCAGTAATTTCCCTCATTAATAGTATACCTTTGAAATTTACATATGGGTGTTGTTCCAAAAAACCCATTTGTTGAGCTTGAGATAAATTAGTTCTCTTGTTCAGCTGTGGAACAGGATTTTTCAAATTGTCGAATTGAAGCATTGTAACCATCTCGGTTTTTATGAGTTCTTCTGCTCTTTGAAGGTCAGTTAAGGAATAGCTTTCATGTGGTGGGCGCAGTACAGACATGTTGACATCCTGTGGTCTGGGGAAATCCCTTTGAATCACTTTAGAGCGACTAGCAAGTTCTCGAGCTTGTTTTGCTTTCAGTTCTTCCTGGTATTTTTCATCAATATCTGCCTGATCTTCAACCTGAGAAATTAAATGATGAGAATTATTGGAACTAATGTGACAATTGAGACTCACCATTTGTTCATGTGCTTGATCAAGTAATTCGTCTTCCTCATTTTCAGGAACAACAATTTCATAATCATTCTTTGGCTGTGGCAAACTATGCAAGCCCATCTTCAATTGCTCTTTAAGGACATTCTGTGACGACCTTTGGGCTGCTGGTGTACTACCTACAACAATCCCTTCTTCGGGATTTATGTTCAATTTGTCCCTGACAGAAGGGGTAATATTTCCCATTTGGTTCCCCACTGGAACAACTGCACCAGTCCTGGGGGTCATAAAACCAACAGTGCTACCTGTAAAATTGAATTAATAATAGTAACTTATACGCCATTGTAGTAAATAATATAATTATCCAGTTACCAAGATTATATGACGAGGTTTCATCCAAGGTATATACGGTTCCGTGATATTAATATTGTTTCTTCACCACTAGCTTCAGGACATATTAAATTTTCCATCATGTTTTCAACAGATGAGAAATCAATTTTCGCTACCAATGACAATAACACGTTTTTCAACAGCCATAGCAATTTCAATTGGCCATTTAAATACTTGTTGTATTCCAAGAGGATTTATTCATTATTTATATTCTTTCTGACGATCACATGAAAGTGAAATGAGTTTTGATCATAAATCATCAATCAAAATCATAGACGACCGGTCAATATAGATGAACTTCTAACAACTATTGAATTGAGTAGAGTATCTTTATTTTTTTAGTCAAAGAGCACACGACACAAAACCTAGTTCGATAAGCCTCCCAGATGATATATATAGATATTAATGGGGGAACACGAAATGGCTAATCTGCAATGCAAAAAACCAGACGTTATTTAATAAAAAAAATGATAATATTTATTCGGTTTATAGTATGATAAGAATCCCGAATTTCTTTTGTTTCTTGAAACAGGAGAGGGATAGAACTATACGATAATGCAGTTCTGCAAGCCCACATGATGTATTTGACAGTTTTGCTATAATAAAGTGTCCCTGTATGTATTTGACAGTTTTGCTAATCTGCAATGCAAAAAACCAGACGTTATTTAATAAAAAAAATGATAATATTTATTCGGTTTATAGTATGATAAGAATCCCGAATTTCTTTTGTTTCTTGAAACAGGAGAGGGATAGAACTATACGATAATGCAGTTCTGCAAGCCCACATGATGTATTTGACAGTTTTGCTATAATAAAGAGTCCCTGTATGTATTTGACAGTTTTGCGATAATAAGAGTACGGACACTATGACAGGCATTGAGAAAAGGCATAACCTCGAATTCTCAAAATAACTTTGAAGGTTTGGTAGATCAAAGACATGGATATGTTTTTCCATGCACTTCGGATCTCTATTCCTCTAATGCCGCGGTGAAGGGTACATTCTGTCTTTCTCTTCATAAAGAAGTGGCGGCTTATCTCACTGGCGTAAAGGGGTCATAGTTTGTAACTCAATTTATTGATAGGATTTCTCGATATATTGAATTAAGAGTGTATATTTATGTACTTCAATTTATTTAATTTTAGAATGCACTCGTTTTCAATAGGAGAGTCAGGATTTCGTAGCCAGTTCTGCTGAGCAAAATGTAAATGAATGGAAAGAACAATACAACCAAAATCTTATATTTGCTCTCATAAAATACTTAAAGACACTCTCTAGTGCCTGATCGATCAGAAAATTCGACAAATACATATGTTGCTCATAAATAGCAATACTACTTAGAATACCTTTCAATTTGTCATCAATTTCATGGATTCGCGTTTTTAAATACTGAAGTTGACTATGATTTTGGTTGAAATATATACCAAAACTATCAATTTGGGTCTTGATTTGCCTGCATTTTTTGCATTCGCAGTTTCCTCACAGTCTTCCAAAGATGTTTAATGACATATTTCCAGATCTCAAATTAGTTTCTTATAATAGATGTGAATTCTTGTTACTTGCAGTCTCGTTTCAGTAGTTTTTTTGTTTCAAGGTATTTTTTAACTGTTCATCCTTTTCTTTGATATTTTTCTGTATTTTTCATCGTTCTCTATTGATAAATTTCAAATTTTTGCATATTTTCTCTCTATAAATCCTCGATAATTTCTTGTTCGCGATCTTAAATACAGTTAATTTTATCTTAGCTTTCTATTACAATTTCTTCTTCAAATTTATCAGAACTCGATAAAGGATGTCTTTGGTAATCTTTCTGATGATAGAATGAAGGCTCCGCATTTTCTTTCAATTCAATGGTATGTTCCACTATCAAATATTCACTTTTGAAGTGCACCTATTATGTTAAAATTGAAATCAGAATTGATATTATTTCTTCGAATATGCATCATATTTCATATTCAATGGAAAAATTCAAAAATTGAGTGGGTACTTACTTCGTAAATTTTGCTGGCTGAACTCAATTTCCATAATGACAGTTACATATTCTGTTTACCATTTTTGTAGCTGTTGTTTATTATCATGTGGAAAATGGAATGAATGAAATAGTTCGCTTCTATTCTTGCAGTTTTCAACTACACAGTTTCAACTACTCTTATTACAACAAATCTGTCAAATACATAAAGGGCCTCTACTCGTACCCAGGTATCTAGTATGATCGATCTCCTCGAAAAACCAAATTTCATCTGTGTAAAAAAAACACTACTACATTTTTTAAATTTTGGAGGAAGTGGTTGCTGCAGCGTTAGAAGATCGCCCTCCGCGCAGCTGAATTCGGCGTTTCCATTCGGTTTTGTCAGCAATCACGGGGTTCTCCTTTCGATATGTATTGCTTGAATACGTGTGCCACGGTCAAGTATGAATAATTTTACGTGTCATTGATTAATTTTATTTATCTTCTGGGGCACACGGAAGGGAATCCCTAAAATATTCAGAAAACATCGTGCGTACCAGGAAAGGATAGAGAGAGGTTGGTATTGGATTTATTTGAAGTAATAACTTCTTCAGGCTCGTTGGGCACTTTCTGGGATGGAAGTAGAACGGCACGCTTCACGGTCACCGCGTACTGACATAATCATAACTGTATTCATATATATCGTTGTTAACGTAAAAATCTGCTACATGGACTTTTGTTTAGTTTTTAGATTTTTGGATTGTCGAACAGTTGGTAGTTCGCTTGTTTATATCAGCTCAGTTGTGCAGCAAAACTATTCGAGAAATAAAAAACCACTATGTGCGCATGTGTTACAAAAATCTGCAATGTTGTCATACATAGCAGCTTTTTATTGTACCTAAGTGGCTTGATAATGCTATATGTGAGCATTTGCGTCGATTTTGTATTTTATCATTACTATTATTTTTATTGTTAGGTATGTGATCATCGTTATCGTTCTGTGATTCATATATTTCTGGTAGATGATTAAGGTTGAGGTGATATAACAGAGAATTGTATTAGTCAGTCTACGTTTATCCTTGATAGAATGAAGTGGTTGTTCTCGCTGTTCATTGTAGAAGTGCCTATTACATTTACTTACACCCGAACACTGTTCCTACAACACGGTTCCTCACATATATGTGTGGCTTGATAATGCTATATGTGAGCATTTGCGTCGATTTTGTATTTTATCATTACTATTATTTTTATTGTTAGGTATTTGATCATCGTTATCGTTCTGTGATTCATATATTTCTGGTAGATGATTAAGGTTGAGGTGATATAAAAGAGAATTGTGTTAGTCAGTCTACGTTTATCCTTGATAGAATAAAGTGGTTGTTCTCGCTGTTCATTGTAGAAGTGCCAATTACATTTACGTACACCCGAACACTGTTCCTACAACACGGTTCCTCACATATATGTGAGCAGGTTGTCAGACACATAGCAGTTCCGGTATTTTCCTTGTTATTATTGAAGTACTCGAATATTTGTTGTAATTTTTCGGCGTTTTTTGTTGAAAAAAATCACTATTATCTTCTTCAAAACGGTTGCAAAAAATAATAGTATTCCTGCATTCTTCAACTAATTGGGAAACATTAAGATGAATGAATAAGGCGATGTGTTTTTGTAAAAATGAGTTTTGTTTCCTGAATCCTGATTGACTATCACGCGAATTATCGAATTTTGCTGTGAACAAGAGTACCTACACAGGGTGTATTCTGTGGTACTACTTAGAAAAGTCAAGTAAGCACAGCTAAAAATGCGAGCCGTACAAGTACAGCGTTACAAGATTTACCGATGAATCTAATGATTTGGGAAATTTTGCTCTATGGAATTTGCAAATTTACCATTTCATGTATTATATCTATTTTTTCATGTATCTATTCTCGATATGTATTTTTTTCTTTGATTATTGTTTGTAATCTATTTTTTTTTATGAACTATTAGTTAGTAGCTACACAAATATTTGTGAAGGGGATGAACCTCTATGGAATTTTTTGTATTCTTTTGGTTCAATAAATTTCTGTATCACAAAAAATAGTAGTTGTTTTCTATTAGGTAGAAAAACAAGAATTGAGTTAAGCTACCTTATATAATTTCGAATAAACGTGAATATACTATATGTATATATGTAACTCCACTGATCATAAATTTAAAATTATTTCTATTTTCATAGTAACCGATTCATCTTGTAACATACAAATAAAGCGCGTCGTAAAATTTCAACTTCAAAATATCAAGTTCAATCATCTCAAACTTCCTGCACAATTACAAAGTGTGTCAGTTCAACAGAATAAACCTCCTGCTTCGCTGTCGGATTAATTCAACTGTTCAACTGACACTCTTTGTGATTATATTATATTTATATTTCTTGTCAGTAAATTTATTTATTTATTCATAACAAATAACTTCCAGACAGAATAGAATCTGGTATGAGGAAGTACATAATAATAATAATTATATATTCAAGATACATCAACAACAATAAATTGGCAAACAAAGAACAATATTTGTAGAGAATGCATATTAAAATAACATCACTAAAAATTTTATCCAACTCGTTCAGAAACAATCAGTATTTTCACTTCATTTTCGAATTATGCAACAAGTTATCGATGTATAACCCGAATATTTTGAAATACTTATAATATTACTACTGATTATGTTGTAAATTATTGGTTTTCAGTATCAAATCTATGGACAGGTATATAATTATCTCACCTGGTGTAGCACTACCATCACTTCTTGTTGATCTGAAGGGAGTAGCCAGCACTGTATTGGGAGTTGCAATAGATTGTGCTTGTGGCAAGACACCGCCAAAGTCAGAGTTGTGCAATGGGGTGTTTAGGCCACCCTTCAAAGGAGTATCCACGTGTGTGAGGGCCATTATATTCTGAGCTTCTTGAAGAATTCTGAAAAAAATATATAGAAACAATGATGAAACAAACTGTGCATGGATACATTAATCAATTTATGTATCAATAACTTTGTTAATTGAAGTATGATTTGATGAATCCTTTCATCATGGCATAATTAAACTGATAAGGAATCTGACACGAATTTAAATTTCAAGAAAGTCATGTATTTTTCCTTATTTCGTAGGGTGACACTTAACTTTACATCTATTCCTCCTATTTTCTTTTCTATTTGTAACAATGGCATCATGTTTTCAAGATATACAAAGGTTTTTACATTTTATTTTTTTAAGGTGATAACAATAAACTTGGAGATTTAACAACACTGAACATAACTAAAATGACCTGGAAATAAACTGAACACTAATTATTGCAATTCTTCTTGGTTTGCTTTCAATCAGGTTTTGAATGTGAGCGATTTGCAGCTATTTTCCAATTAAACCTTCATTAAGCTGCTGTAAATTTGCAGGAGATGGTAGTGATGGTACACATTTCCTCTGGTAAGCATCTCAAACATGTTCAATTGGGTTTATGTCTGGGCTTTGAGATGGTTGATTCTTTACTATGATAGTAGCTGAGTTCGGCAATTCCATCTGAGATGCTAGGGATTGATTTGTCACGTGACCACGGATTGGACATTTTAATCGGCATAAACGAACGGTCAGATCGCCGTCAAAGACACCACCATTTGAGGTGCATCGTTTTTGTTCGGGTAGATCCACGGTAACCAATCTGCTGACCTATCAGGGTTTCCTGTTACACGGACTTCTCCAAGTCATTTGACAGAGGTGACCACAAAATGCTATTACAGAAACTTCGTTCTTTTGGCTTTGCAAATAGTATCGTGAAATGGCTACGTAGTTTCCTCACGGGCCGCTCACAAAGAACTAAAATCATATCAGGTGTCCCTCAGGGCTCTCACTGTGGACCCTTACTATTCAATCTTTTTATAAATCACTGCAAGAAATCAAATTATTAGCTTCAGTACACGACTTCGACGTTTTTCTCATATGTGAATCATGGCTCACAAATAATATAAGTGATGATATGATTTATATTGAAGGATACAAACTATATAGACTTGATCGTCGCACCAGAGGTGGCGGCGTATGCATTTTTATTAGGGATTTTTTCTGTAGTGAAAAAATCAATATCCAGGGCATCTGCTGTGAACAGTTATGGATCAAGGTATTAATACAAAAAACGAAAATAGCTCTTGGAGTAATATATAAACCCCCAGCTCAGGATGACGTTTCTTTTATTGATGAGTTTGAAGACACATTGAGTGTAATTTATCCCTCGGTGGATAGAATTATTTGTGGAGGAGACTTAAATATTAACTTCGCGCAGTATGATAATGCCATTGTTGAAAAAATATTATCAGTTATGCAATGCTTTGGTTTGAGCCAAGTAATAGAGAACCACACAAGAATAACGGAAACCACATCCTCCCTATTAGATGTAGTGGTAACTGAAAAGGAATGGGTAATGGACAAGGGTGTTGTTGATGTTATTGGGGTAACTGATCACATGTTGGTTCATTGTAAAATAAATATCATAACTGGCGAAAAAAAATTCAAATTTCATACCTGTAGAAACTTCAAATATCTGAACGAATATGATTTCAGTAGAGACTTATACAACATACCTTTTTTAATATTTATGATCAAGAGGGAGTCGATGAAAAAATTTCATTCCTGGTTAATTGTTTAACGAACCTTTTTGATAGACATGCACCATTAACAACATCAAGGATAACTAAAAAGCCTGCTCCCTGGCTGACAGGGACCTTGAAAGAAATGATGGGAATAAGGGACAAAGCTTTTAATAGATATAAAAAATCAAAATCATTAGCTCATTTTCAGTTCTACAAAGACATGCGAAATTACACAAATCAGGCAGTCAAGAGGGAAAAAAGAGCTTATTTCGCTTCTGAATTCAGTAGGAATGATAAGAAAAATTTTTGGAAAACGTTAAAATCTAATAATTTTTTACCCGATAAAAAACGTGATATTCCAGACGATTTGAAAAATCCAAATGAACTCAACAACTTCTTTGTTAATTCTATTCCTTTTCAGGAGCCGCCTGTAGAACTCATTTCTTTTTATAGGGAAAATAAGCTGATAGACCATGATTTCAAATTCCATGAAGTAAATGATATGTTCATATTCAAAACTATTTCTAATATTAAATCAAATGCAATGGGTAGTGATTTTTTGAACATAAAACTTATTAAAATGTGCTGTCCACATATTATTCCATACATAACGCATATTGTCAACTTTTGCCTCATGAATGAGATTTTTCCATCTGTATGGAAGAGGGCACTTGTGAAGGTGTTGCCTAAAAAAGCGAATCCAATGAGTTACAATGATCTACGTGCTATAAGTATATTACCAACTTTATCTAAGCTACTTGAAAGAGCCATTGAGGAACAACTGAAAGAACATATTAACCATTTCTCCATACTTCCGAATACTCAATCTGGATTTCGTAAAGGTTACAGCTGCACAACTGCCCTGTTGCATATAGTTGATGATATTATAAGATCCAGTAACTTGGGTGAAAACACTATACTAGTTCTTCTAGACTTCAGTAGAGCCTTCGATACAATCAATTATAATTTAATGTTGTCAATATTGGGTTACATTGGAATTTCTAACAGTGCAGTATCTTTAATCAGATCATTTCTCAATGACCGTCAACAAATTGTCTCTATCGATGGAAATCACTCACAATATTTAAATCTACGTTGTGGGGTACCCCAAGGTTCTATTTTGGGACCCTTGCTATTCGCTATTTATACTTCGCAGCTTATGAAATGCCTTCAGTTTTGTAATATCCATCTGTATGCAGACGACACACAGCTATATTATAGTTTTTCCTCGGACAAGGTGGATGATGCTTGTAGTAGAATAAATAGTGATTTGAACTCATTTGTAGATAAAGCCTCTGATCATTGTCTGATGATAAACAATAGTAAATCTAAAGTCATTGTTTTTGGTCCCAAGCATACTAGGAATACTGTTCGATTCCACACTAATATTAAGATAAATGATGAGCAACTGGAGGTAGTACATGAAGCGAAGAGCCTAGGGGTAATTTTAGATGAAGACTTGAGATTTGAAAAGCATGTAGCTCAACTTGTCAATCGTGCATATTACTCACTTAAAGTTATTTATGGCAACAAGTATTTTTTACCACCTAAAGTGAGAACAACATTATGTGAAGCCTTGGTCCTATCTGTTTTCAATTATGCCGATGTATTGTATGGCCCATGTTTAACCGTTCAGTTCAAACAAAAAATCCAAAAGGTTCAGAACTCATGCCTACGATTTATTTTTGGTATCCGAAAGAAAGAGAGAATATCTCACAAATTGAAAACTATCGGATGGTTAGACATGGAAAATAGGAGAAAACTACATGCTGCCACTTTATTCCACAAGATAATCATGGAAAAAAACCCTCCTTACCTACATGAAAAAATTTCGTTTAGAACTGACGTGCATAATCTTAATATAAGGCACAAAGGCCGACTTACCCCTCCAATATTTCGTTTGGAGATTTTTCGAAGATGTTTCACGTACCAGATATATGCAATGTATAACGGCATTCCTGATTCAATCAAACAGAAAAATGTGTATCGGTTCAAAAATGAATTCACTGAATTTCTTTTGCGGTAACTGATTCTAACATTCAAACCACCTATCTCATCCCTATGTTAATATCACCCCTAATAATAACTACCATTTAGCGATTATATTTGATTATTATTTATATTCTTCATAGAAGCATTAAGCGATATGTTCTAGGTTGAGTGGAAGAGCAATCTCAATGGTGATTCGTCACTATTGAAATTGAACTCCGCCTTTAATTTTCTTCCGAAGTTAAATATGTTATATATATATATATATATATATATATATTATTTTTATTCTAATGACTGTACCGTTGAAGAGGAAGAAAATAATAAAGACGATATTATTATTATTATTATTATATACAATGATTTACAATATCGTTTTCTCGTTCTCATAATGTTTACTTATATAATTACAATATCAACAACACCTTCTTGAAAAAAGTAACCGAGATTAAAGGTCTTTTGAAATCATCTTTGATGAACAACTCACCTTCAAGAGCCATCTACTGAAAGTATCAGCTTCCACCAATAGAATGGTAGGTTTTCTATCGCGTGAAACAAAAAATATTTCATGCAACACATTTTATATTTTGTACTGCTCCCTTGTACGTTCTTTATTGGACTATTGGTGTATGATTTGGTCACCATACTATGCATGTGATATCACACTAATCACTAATCGAACAAGCCCAAGTTAGATTCGCCAAAAACATATCCTACAAAATGGGAACTTACCACCATTTCAACTATTCGGATACTCTCGACATCCTCAACCTAACTAATTCATCTGTCCGTCGCTTTAGGCTAGATAGTTATACTATAATTAAGATTATCTCAGGTGAAATTGATTGCTATGAACTGCTCAACAGAATTCACGTCAGTACTCCCTCATATTTCACTAGAATCACAGAATTATTTGTTATAAATACTCATAGAACCAACTATGGGTTCTTCTTATTTTGAATTCGTACCAGTATATCACCTGATGAAGCTACTGTGTTATGTGGAAATCTTATCGTTTGTGAAGTTTTTACATATGGGTTCTTCAGTCTTCAGCCCTTTTTCACGCATATTGCGTAATTTCAATGCATTAACATTGACCCGTTCGTTCAGTCTTTAGCCATATTTAAAATTAGAATTTGTAAAATTGAACCTAGGTTATTCCATCATCATTAATTTAGTTGTTACTTTTTCTCTTTTCTTTTTTTTTCTCTTCTTTGGGGATAATGTAATTGTTCAACCTAATGGATGTACTTAGGAAATAGTTTCAACAACAAATTGTAGTGTTGATAAGAAGTTCAATTTTGTTCATTGTTGAATTTCATTTAATGATGCTGTGATGTTATTGTCCCTAATTATGCTTGATTATATGTAATTAATTTTTATCGTAAAGGTGAATCCGTTTATCAAATAAATGAAGACAAAACTGTCAAATTTCAACATTTGTTTTTTGTGATTTTTTTGCAAAATGAATTCAATAGAAATTTGAGTACTCCTCAGTTCAATAGCAATATGAGTACTCCTACTGTATTGGCTTTAACTGGAGGAGGATTTCAAGTTATGAAAAATATTCACTGCAAACCTTTTTGTACTTTGATTGGATTTTCGGTCATTTCTGTGAAATTCTCATTCCTCATCCCTTACAGAAAAAGTGACATGTTTTTGTTGTTCAACATCTAAAAGGATAAGATTCTTCATGTTTTCAATAAATGAATGAAGGCCCTAAAATGTAAACCTCGATGTAAACAAATATCAAAGATATCGAGCATCAAAATATTCGTCGAATCGCTCCGATTTTATTTGCTGAACGGTTGAGATTTACCTCCTCTCTCATCGGTTGTAATAAACGACCGATACAGACTGATCAGAGCGCTCCGACGTTAATACCGAAATTAATTCACACCACCCCACTACATTATCGAACTCCCTCCACAACGTACTAAAGACAAACTTTCTTTTCACCATAGAGAAAATGTATGGTAACAAAACAGGAAATTACAGTGTGCAACAGCTTGGAAACTACATTTTTTATCAAAAATAAGGGTACGCCACCAAGAGGTATGGTTTGAAAGCTATCAGAGCGGTTTGTTTACCCTGATTACATTTGGTTTGCAGTTGTGCTTATCGCTCACATTAATTTAAACAGACCATGTTCAAGTTATTGCCGTCAGGTTAGGTTATGTTTGAATAGATTGCTTGGAAGTTATAGTAAGAAGGCATGTTTTGTGTCAACTTGAATGATATGGAAATGTGCCTAATTTTCTAAACATTTCAAACTTGTTTCATATTTCATATTGATTTACCTAAGGATATTTTTTTTCAAATTTGGGGTGAAATGAATTATATTGAATAATGGAAAGTTATTGCAACCTCTATTGTGATTGCATTCAATATATTCTTGACATTAACCTCTGAAAAAGATACAGGCCTCCCTTATTTGAGTACATAAACAGAAAATTTCCTGCCGAGTCTTTGTGAATCATAACCTATAATTGGTTGTCAATATAAAGCTTGAACATGAGCATCATGGAAAATCGTTGTCTCCAATAACAGTCTATCCAAACAGAAATAGAAACTGTTTTCTTGTTGTTAATGAGTAACCTAATTCCACTCAGCATTCTCTAATAATCAAGTATGAAATCAATGCTCAAATTGAAGAGATGATAATAAATCTGGTTTTTTAGTTTTAGTAAAAGTATTTTGGCAAAAACTGCACTTTCTAAAATTCCAATGTTGCTGTTACATGGTTTTGTGTCTGATAATAGCGCTCAATTCAATTTGACTGTATTTATCAAACTAAGCAATTTTTGCATGTCTTTTGAAGTACGGCCGTCCATCTGAAAATTTCACGGCGAGATTTGGTTCCTTTAGCAGGATGAAAAATGTCTGCTTCTATTGGTAGACCTCAAAATACAAAATATTATGTTTCATGATAGGCACCGCACATATATTACATGTTACCCAAATTCTGGGTATCCGGATGAATCATGAAAAGGTAACCTCATCGTATTGAATTTTATTTTCTCAAGACGAATTTGTTGAGGAGTTGTTATTGTTGTTGTTTCCATTACCTGTCAGTCTGAGGTGCTGGAGTCCTAGGTGTGGCTGTAGCTTGTGGTGTAAAGGTATAATCATTCAACAAAGTGTCGGTGGTTTCCACGCCACTTTCTGTCGCAATTTCTCGGGCTACTTCGCTGGCCTTGCCCAATTTGACCACTTGGTGCATCTCTTGATCGGATATTTGCGGTTCCGGAAGCACCAGCTTTGACCTCTTCTTTGCTGGTTCTTCGTTCTGCAGCATGGCGGGCGGGATGTCATTCTCTTTGCGTTGCTTCAACTTTTGCTTGTCTTTTTTACGCTCTCTCTGTTAATGAAATGATAATTATTATCATGAAAAAAACAGTTGATGTGTTGAGCATTGTAATTTTTTGACATCCAAAATTTGGAAAATCCACCGCATCGGTATTAGAATGAGTTTGGCAATAAAATACCATCTGGAATATACTATTATGAAAAGACCATTTTACTAATACTGATGAAAAACTATCGAAGAAGAATTTGAATTCATAAATCCTAACCTAGAACCGACAAAAATATTCATCAAATCATGATCAATGCTGAAAGGATAAAACAACAACAAAATGAGATAATATTTAAATACAGCTTGAAATATTATACAGGGTCTTCAACAATTATTATTGAAAACGACGTGACCAGATTCGTATGCAACCAACAATACATTTTTGTTATGTCATATTTTCACCTTAGATCATTCATTACTGTAGTTTTCAGTGTATATGTTCTGTGGTCTCGTTCTTCGCAATTTCATTGGCCCGTTAACTTGCCAACTGTCATAGCAGCCAAAAGCTTGCCTTGTTTACAGAAACTTAAAGGAGAGTTGGATTGCGAATTATCTCATCAATTTTGTGTTCGAGATTTCTGCTTACACAGCTGTGGTCTAGTAGCACCCAGTAGCGCCGTGTTGTCTTTTCTACTGTATTTGTTGATGGTGTTTATTTCATTATTATTGCATTTGATCATTATTTCGCTTACAATCACTTTGTGAAAAACAGTATTTATCAAAACTACATCTTCAATTCATTGTTGTGCAAAGGTAAGACCAATAATAAACCCCTTGTTTTTATTGTACATGTCCTTATTCTCCTTTCAGGATTATCAACATGTTTTTTTTTGTGACATATTATACATCGTTTTGAAACAAAACACTGTATCTGCAAAGGGAAATCTTCTGGTAGACCAACTCTTCTTTCCGAAGGTGTTCTTCATGATATTGAGAAACATATGGTGAAAAGTTATAATAAATATGCCTCAAAGTTGTTACAAGAAACATTCAGGAAACTTAATTACTTAGTAGGTGAAGTTTCCATGAATTCAATTCAATATAATTATGCCCCCTTTCTCTGGGCTTTGGTGGCTACTTGGAGCATCGTCAAGTTTCGGATAGCCAGATGGCCTACGGTGCATGTAGTGCGACCCACGACCACGCTGTAGGTTATCACCGAATAACAAATGAGGTGACACTGACCAACCCCCTAATCCAAAGTGTAACACGACCCACGCCAATGGATGCATCACGGTGAGTGAGCACCGTCGCAAACGGAGCATTGAGGATACCTGGCCACCTCCTCAAGCGAAAGCCTTCTCCCTGTAATGGGCTGTACAGGGGGCGACGATCCATTCCTCATTACTCGTGGGACCAAAAATGGATCGGAGGCTACACAGAGAAGCTCTCTTCGGAGCTCTCGCATACCACCCCTACTGAGGAAACCCCACCGGTGACCTCAGAAAACACCCCAATGGCAGGGGAGTCCTCGGAGCACCCTGACATTCCTTCCCACCCACAATCACCCCCCCCCCTCTTTTTAACCCCCTCAAATTTCCTCACCTAAAGCCAAGGAACGTCAGCGGACCCCGGCAGAAGAACAGCAGCAGTCTACACAGTGGACTGTGGTTAAAAATACCAACGTTTGTGGGGCAGAGAGAAAGAGGAGGAAGAAGGAACGCCTGGATGAACTTGCGGTTCCAACTAGTGAAACCCCTGATTGACCCGGTCAGAAATCGACAACCTCTGACTCACAGAGAGGATCCTCCAAAGGAGTTTCTGGAAAGGACCCGAAACCCGCCTCCAAAAGAGGCAGGACACCAGGATCCACCCCAGGGTAAAAGAGGTGGGAGTCCAAACGTCCAAGGATCGGCAAACCTTATCAGTGGAGGGCGGACTGCTCCCAGGTGACCACTGGGGACAAGTCTAGTCATTAAGTACCAACTGCTAGAATTTTTAGATGCTGTAGGGGATATGATAATAGAAATCCAAACAGATACTGCACCCCCACAGTTCAAGTCGACCAGACTGTGGCCTATGCAGCTGCTAGTTACAACTGCCAACGAATGCTCTAAGGAGTGGCTTACCAAGGAGTTGGGAAAGATAGCTCCTTGAAAAGACACTAGTCAGGTGCTGATGAATCCAGCAAGGCTAAGGCTACGCCGAGCCATGGATCCCGAGAAAAAAGGTTTCTGCCGAATGAAGACATCGTCAGAAGACTGGAAAGGCAGAATGACCTCTCAGGATCTTCCTGGAAATTCTGGGAGAGGAGAAACAGGGGCTTCGACTGGTGGTAGGGCTGGACGAAGTAGTAGTCCATACTCAAAGTGGAGTGGAATGATCAAGAAAGAAAACTTTGAGACGACTTTGAGTATTCTTTCTTGTACATGAGGTTTCTTAGCCAACTGAACAGGGACACAATTCGGGCTGGCCGGACCCATCGCCTCGGCTCTCCAGACTGAAGGAACCCTTGAAGGTACCTGGGAAACCTATTAAGGAACTCCTCAGAGTCAAGTCTACATCCTCTCAAAACTGGGGCTTCAATTGCAATTTCTAGAAGAAGAATTATAGGGCCAATTTTTTTTCCAGGAAACAGAAAATGCTGAACTTTGGCTTGTTTATGATTTCGACTTCAACATGAATGTGTTTATTGAATTCTATAATATATCTGTGATATGTAAGTAGGTACTTGGATTCAACTTTTGTCCTAGGTACATTTCTTGAATAAAGATTGCAATAAAATTTTCATATATTACATTAATAAACTTGGTAGAAGGCCCAACTTCACCATATTTTGCAGATTTACAGTACCTAAGTCTTGGATGCCAAGTCATCAACTGGTATCATTTTTCAATTTGTTCAACATTTGCGTTATCTCAACCACCGTGGGCATCTGTCATGGTGCTTTTAGGTAAATATAGAAAAATATCTTTGGTTTTGTGAAATATTTTATGAAACATGTGAAATGTTTACTTTTTCTTCTACAATTTGAACACAAGAACCCAAAGAGAAAGCATTATAGCAGGTTGCTATTTCTGTTTCAACTTTGTTTCAATTATCAGTGAAATAACAACCCTGCTTTTGACTTTGTTTAGTATGCCTATGTTTTATTTTGATAGCAGTTGTTAATCTCCAGTTATTACTATACCAACTGTACAGTGTTGGTTGCAAACATATTCTGGTTACGTGGTATTCAAACATTGTTGAAGACTCGGTACATCAGGAGCATTAACTTCCGAGGTGCGTGCAAAGTAAGAACCAAGATAAGGCGCTTGAAGAGAATAGACTAAAACAATGAATTGCTAATCCAGTAAATCTAATATCAGTAATATTTAAACAAATAAGAGGGACAACTAGTTAGAATATGAGGAATATAAAAAATATGAAATGAGCAAGTGAAAACAAGATGGCAGGGAATCCGCCGGACGGCGAAGGGGAGAAAACCAGCCCTGAAGTCTGATAAGTGAAAAGACAATCTAATGAAAATTGATACATCTAGAATAGAAAACCAAGGAAAATATCAGCAATGGCTTGATGAAAAATGTTGATTCAAAAGAGGATAGAGGTACTTAGAATATTTGATTTCAGGAAGAAAAAGTGAGCATAGAATCCTACAAAGCAGAACCAAATCACATGTGTTCTTGAACAGAAAAAAATTGAATAAGAGGAATCAAAATGCTATGCACCAGCAAGCATGGTATCATGCAAGCGTTAATAATGACAAACTCCTATCAATATTTTTGGTTATTTCCACAAATGTCACTAATGTCAGTGACAACTTGACTTTGCTTGCACGTAAAAATATCTCAATCATCAATCGCCCTCATTAATACACTAGTTGGTTGAATAACTATTCAGTCTAGTCTAGTTTTCAAAGAATTTTACCTCTTCCTGTTCAGTCCTCAATTCTCCATCTAAATGCTGTTGACGCATTTTGGAAAAATCTGGTGCCATCGGATCCAAAGCTTCATTAGACGTATCATAGAAACCCAAAGCTGGTCTCTTTTCAAATGGAATTTCGGCATTGTAATCAACACCCCTTTTTTTCTTCCTACGAGAATTAACTTCTATTCCAGCTGCTCGCAATTCCCTCCTTTTCTGTAATGCCGCCAGACGTCTTGCTTCTTCGAGCTGTTTTTCACGAGCTTTACGTTTCGCTTTCTTCCCCTGAGTGTTGGCTAACCTGGCACGTGCTTCTGATAACATTTCCAATTCGTCTTCGTCCATATCTTTGGGATCAGGTCTAGCTGGTTTAGTTTCAGGATTGGGATCTATTTCTCCCGGTTTCAACTTCCTTGGATCGTCCACTGCATCTTCTCCTTCCTCTTTTTTCTGTGCTTGATCCCTTATTTAATAACAAAGAAACTTTCTACTTCTACGGAATGTTATTGACTTTCTTAAAACTAGAATGACTGGAAGAATCTGACGTTTAATGCTTTTTAGAGAGGGAGTTGGCAGAAGGACTACGGACGATAGCCATTTGAACATTGTTGTTCAATGAAATAATATTTTAGAGAGTGAAGACACACTTGCCACCACTGCCATTCTCGAATTGTCATGATTTTTAAGTATAACACATCAATTCTAAATATTGAATAGGCGTACCAGTAAAAATTACTCACCAAAATTCGCAAAATTATACTTTTACCACCTGTATAAATTTACAAAAAATGAGAATTCATTCTATAAATGAAACTATAATATAAAGAGACGTATCTGGATTGTACCAAAACTCGCTAGGTGAATTACTGGAAAAAGGTAAATACCTTTTCATGTGTTTTTGATTATTCAACTACATTTTATATACACAATTCAATGAAGTTGTTTTTTTTTGTTCGCCAATTAGAAGAAAAAGTTTATTCAATCTTACAGTATATTCAAACTACCTTATAAAAAAACAGCTGTTGAAGTATTGCAAATTGCAAACTAGGCTGACTGACAAAAACACCCCCAAGCCGTTATTATCTATCCGATTTTGAAAAACAAAAAAGCAAATGAAATGATTCATCAGATATCAATTTAACCCTAATGACAGCGATTGTCGACTTTTTTTTCCAAATGGCATTTTATATTGTTAGTGTCACCTTATTGTTTTTCAAAATTGGATAGTTAATAGCGGCGCTATGGCTCGGGGCGTTGCTTGTCAGTCAGTCTGTATAATGGGGGTTTCAATACTTTCAACTATCTCCTTGGTTATTTCCTCTTCCATTAAAAATATTCGAATACTATTATGAACATATAAACCAAGAAAAGGCAAATTATTTCTACAAAGGATACTGTCCTCAGTGCATCTCACACTGACTTTATAAAGAACAAATGAAAGGACAATGCCAGTTCTCAGTTCTACGCTAAATTGAACTAGCGCTGACCACGTCATCGGCTTCCAGAAGTATATCGTACTGAGCCGGCCTTTATATCATCGCTGTTACTACAATATACCGTTCGACAAGAAACAAAAACAGCGAACATACATAGAAACTCCTCAAGATCGATGATAAAACAGCAAAACACTGGCAAAAATACACATTATGTGTAATACACCAAACACAAACAACGTAAAAATGATTGATGGACGATCGATAAGAGTATTACAGAGAAGCCGGCTCTGATGAGATATACAAGAGTAAGTGTATACACTTCCCCAAGAAATTAGCGCACCATCAAAAAGTAGCCCAAAGTTTAAGATACATTTTCGTCAAAACTACTTGTCCGATTTGAACGTTTTCTGTTTTGAATGACAGGTTATCTCCTTCTGAACATTGGTGTGCAAACTTATAATCGTCCTTTATTGAATTGGATACATATGATATACAATCATTATTACTCAATTCCACTGGTTATCGATCTAGGCCCTTCAGCCTTTGAGTCTGTACTAATAATATACTATCAGTCCTACTTGATTTTTTGAATAATCACTATACAGGGTGTTTCACAGGTAAAGGGAAATATTTCAATGGTAGATAGGGGTCACCAAGGTGGTTCTGAAAATACCATATTTGATAGGTCTTAGAGTTTTCATAACAGAGATACAGGGCGATTTATCGATTTCGAATAATTATTCATTCGTCTATAAGTATTGAACTACCCAGTATATTTTTCTAGAATTTGGTATGGAGCTTAAACTTGGGACGTTGAATGCATTCACCTATCGGGAGAAGTGAAAATCCAGGTTCGGCTTCAGGAAAAATTTACATTCATTCGAAATATTAAAATAACACACTGTATGTAATAATTGACAAAGTTCATCAAAGGAATCGTGAAGAGGAGGAAAAACTGAACTGGATCTGATGCTTTTTGTTTTCCCGCCAACAATTCTCATCGTAACAATCATAAACAGGAAGCTAAAAGTATGTCAATTTCAAGAGTATTAAAATTATGAAACCACTTTCAATTATGATTATTTGATATAAAATATTCTCGTTAAATGATTGTTCGAAAGAACTTACTCTGTCTCACAGTCTGAATAACAGAGATACAGGGTGAATTATCACTGGTCCATAAGTATTAAACTACCCATTGCAGTAATATATTCTCAAATTTGCTATTGAGCTTACTTGGGACGATGGATTCATTCATCTATCAGGCAGAATGGAAATACAGGTTCAGCTTCAGGAAAAGTCTCATAGTCTTTATAACAGAGATACAGGGTGAATTATCGAATTATAATTCCGCCTGATAAGCTACATACCATATTTGAGAAAATGTTACTGGGTAGTTTTATACTTATGGACGAGTGAATAATCATTCAAAACCGATAATTCACCCTGTATCTCCGTTATAAAAACTGTGAGACTTAGTAAGTTCTTTCGAGCGATTTTTTGACAAAAATATATCGAATAATCATAATTGACACTGGTTTCATAATTTCAATACTCTTCAAATTGACATACTTTCAGCTTTCTGTTTATGATTGTTACGATGAGAATTGGTGGCGGGAAAACAAGAAGCATCAAATCCAGTTCAGTTTTTCCTCCTCTTTACGATTCCTTTGATGAACTCTGTCAATTATTACATACAGTGTGTTATTTTAATATTTCGAATAAATGTGAATTTTTCCTGAAGCCGAACCTGGATTTTCTCTTCGCCCGATAGGTGAATGAATTCAACGTCCCAAGTTTAAGCTCCATACCAAATTTTAGAAAAATATACTGGGTAGTTCAATACTTATAGACGAATGAATAATTATTCGAAATCGATAAATCGCCCTGTATCTCCGTTATGAAAACTCTAAGACCTATCAAATATGGTATTTTCAGAACCACCTTGGTGACCCCTATCTACCATTGAAATATTTCCCTTTACCTGTGAAACACCCGTAGATTGTAGAGAAAAATGTATATAATTTTTTTCAAGTTAAACTTGTTAAAGCAATCGGAGAACTATTTCAATGAGCGGTTCTTCTGGTTGCTTGTGTATTGCCTGTACTTTGGGGTTTCTTCTGATGCAGAATTCTTGTAGTATCTCCATGTTGCTGCGTTTTCGACAGAATCTTTGGGCTAATTCATGCAGGCGTGTCTCTATGGGTTTTGTGCCAGTCATTTTGTAAAGCAGGTGGATTGTGAAGCGGGTTGATGGGGTGGCGAATTTTGGTTATTTTTCTGATTGCAGATGTTTCAGCTACTTGCAATTTTTTCTTATGCCTACTTTGCAGTTCAAGAATATCAGATGGGCGTAATCTATCATTGGACGACATATCATTTTATAAATACTGCTTGCTGTTGTCAGATTAATCCCTTTCTTCTGGTATGTCAATCACCTAAAGTGGGTTGCTCTTGAGATATTTTTTTTTTGGGTTATATGCTGGTTGAAACTTATCTTATTGTCGAACGTAACTCCTAAGTATTTGACTTGCAATTCAGTATGAAGGTTGTGCTGATGAAAAGTGATGGTAGGCGATGATGGTGAAGGGTGATGGTTAAAAATGATGAAATGGGATTTGATTGGATTCGGTTTTAGTCTCCATTTGTTGGACCATACTGTGGTTGGGTTCATCAGGCCTTGTAGGTTTTCCACCGTTTTGACAAGGGATTTTCCATGTGAAACTGAATCTGTGTCGTCTGCATATTGGAGTAGGTACGTTGACATGGGGAATAACTGTGGATCGTTAGTGGCTTGAGTATAGATGTCTGCACAGTATGCATTGTAAAATAGCGGAGATAATGGAGAGCCCTGTGGTAGTCCTTGTTTTGGTGTAAATTAATTTTTGAAAGACTTGATAAAACTTTCACTTTTAATAATTCATAAATAATTAATAAATTATAAATAATTGATAGTTTTGGAGTGATCCAGGTTTGGCTTTGGTATAGTAATGATAGTGCCTGTTTTCCATTCACTTGGGATATGTTGTGTCCATACAGTAGTGATAGATTTTGATGATATATACAGTTATAGTGGTCCAGTTTCCAGAGCATGTTTTTGCCTTGGCTTAGTATTTCAAAATGCTCGAAGTATTGGGATCACACGTTAAAAGGTAAAGCCCCCGTCATTCCTTGCTCGCACAAGACTTCTGATGGTTTCTCGTAAGGGGGCAACCGAATGACGGATAGAACAAAGAACAACAAAAATTCTTCTTCGTTGATGTTTTCATATTCATCATTGGGAGCATTTGAAAATTATGTGTTGTATGAGTTCATATTGGTTAATATCAAATTTGTCGTCTGTGCTTTCTTTCATTCTTCATAAGCCTTCTCAAATATTTGTGCTTTTTCTGACTTGCTTTCATATTTTACACCATTTTCTTCAATACTATATTGATTTCTTCACATGTTTTATCCATTTATGAGTTTTGTATTCCTGTATTAATTTTTATATATGTTTGTTCAATTGGTTGATAGTCATTTTGGCAACCAGGTCTTGATTAGTTCTATATTCCCTGTATAGTCTTCTCTTTTTCCTTAACAGGCTCACAATGAAAGGTGGAAGTTCATGTGAGTTAAAATTGTATTTATATTTGGGTGTTCCAGGATTATTGTACTGAGCTTTTGGTTGAAGAGGGTGATTTCTTCATTATCTATTTCATGGGTCTCTGCAGATCGAACACACTCGACCTTGGTTTGTTTCACGTTGTCCATGTTAGTCTGGAAGAAGTTGAATCATATGTTGTCTTCTTCTGCTAGCTGTGTTTCAATATCTATCATGATTTTGAAGGCCAGATGGTCTGAACCTAGGTCTACAATTTCCTCTACGTTTATTGAATTTGTTGCAATATTTTTAGTGTGGAGTATCAGATCTGGGGTTGTGTCATTATTATTTGGTGCAAGGAACGTTGGTTCTGTTTGCTTTTTTGAAAATTCGAATTCTGCAGCAAATTATTGAGCTGCCGTTTCTTCGTTCTATTGTTGACAT